TCAAGTATTCCGGAGTCTTCTCCACTGACGTGAGATGGCCAAGACATGATGTTATCTCTTTTACCTGGTTGAAAAGAGTGATAAAGAAATATTGTTAAAAAAATTTTTTTATAACAATACACATCTACACTAGTACCCTAATAAACCTGTAAAATAAGCAAATCATATGAAAACACTAGGACAGAGGGAAAGATTGCTGAATCAAGACAAAAACTGAAGCAAGACAAACAAATTGTATCATCCAACTAGCCCCCAGCGAGGGGCCGGACAAAAAAATTAACCACAAGCAAATTCTTACTGCTTCGAAGTGTCCTCTTCCATCCTCCTTTGAGTAAAATATCTGCATCCATGGTCCTGTGAGGAAGCGGGAGTACATGCCCATTACTTGCAAGTGTAGAAGGACACTCGGATCAGTCAGGCCTTCATAAATTTTTGCGCACACAAACTTTCCCAGCCTGCATTTTACAAACTCTGTCAGCTGGACTCGATGCAGGTATATCACCGCTGCCATACTGAACATGACATTCAAACGGTTCCCAACATAGCGTTTGAAGATACCGGGATTGATATTCTTCGTCTTCAAAAAGGCTGTGAATGCAGCTGGATCACCAGACCCATCTTTGTACCTGGGAAAAAAAATTAAAAACGTCTTGTTATGTGCATGATTATGTGATTTACTGCAGGCATTAAAATGAAAATTACATTATTTTTAGTATGATTTCCAGATTTTCACTACGCTCCATATATGATGATATATCTACCTGTTGTCAAACTGCCAAATACATGTATGTTGAATAATCTGCCACAGACATGAAAAAAATGATATAAAATAGATGTCATGAGACAGGACTTGCTACACAATGATAAAAACTGACTAAACATTACCTCAGTTTGGATACTTGATGAATCAGTGTTGCGGCCCGGCAGCCCAAGGAGGATTTCTGACCATCTTGGTCTGTCTTAGTATCCAGCTTACGCAGAGCTTCACGAGCTGATCTGGCAAGGCCGTCTAATGGGTGCACCATACATTTTAAATCGGCCACGTCTCCGTCTCCACAGTCCTCTTTGAGTCGTTCAGATACTCGGTGGTTTGCAGCAGCTCTGTCGCTCATGGTGCTGTGCAGTTTGCTTTTCACTTCTTCCAGGATGGCTGTTGCGGGTAACTGGAAGGCGGCACAGTAGATCTCGCAGACATCAGATAAGGCTTCCATTGCATGCTGGTACAGCTCCTCTGCTGATGAACCTGAAATGGGTCTAATATTGAGAGTTAATGATTGCCTACCTAGTATTGTTTTGAGGGACACATGAACTTCGTTATAATGTATACCTGCCTTTGTTGTGGAATCCCAGGCTAATGTGATGAGATCGCACTCGTGCAGCATCTGGCCAGCTTGAATGCTAGCAAGCACCCCGAGTTCGTAAGCCATCTGTGCTATTGTAGTCACACATGGAATCTGAGAAAAAACTTTACCAAAAATTATCCCTGCAACAGAAGACAACAAACGAGAAATATTCCCAACACTAACATTACACATTAAAAAGTCATAAACACACTGCCTAAATCTATAATCATACTTCCCTGCCTCTTTTGTTGTAACAATGTTGTCACTGTCTTCACTGTCTTCCTTAGAATCTGCCTGTTCCACTGCTTCGTTTTCCCAGTATTTACTTCGATCTGTCTCCTCTTGCAGTCTGGTTTTTACATAGTCTAATTCACTGCTAATCTTCTTTTGGATTTCACAAAACTGTTCTTTCGATTGCTTGTTCCTCTTTTCCAAATCAGTGATTTTTTTCTCAGATTGCTTCAGTTTGCTTTCTAATATTCCTTTGGCAATTGTCAGTTCCTTTATTTCTTCCTCGTGTTTTGCTTTAATTGACATTTCCTTTTTCCTGTGCCGCATTTCCTGTTCTTGGAACTGTTTGTTCAAATTTGAATGTTTGACTCTCCAAAGTTCAGCTGATGCCGATTTCCTCTTTATTGTCAAATTCAATGTTTTCAGTGACATCTGTTTCTTTTCCTCTCTATGTCGAATTCTAAGTGCTCTTATCTGCAAACGCAAGTGCCTGTTCTCCTTCAGCATGTTCAGACTTGTCCGTTGCTTAGCTACACAGTTGTCACAGTCTTTTTTTAAACGCTTTGGTGATGGTGACCTGGAGATCAGTGAAACAGAAAATGAAACATTATGATTATGAATGGAGTTAAAGGGTAACTCGTCAATCCATGGTGTTGCAGAAGTGTGTTGCGCATGATCAGTTGTATGGTCAGCTGGTGTCACAGGTGTGAGTGGTGGGGATGAATGATCAGTTGGCTGAATTAGTGGTGGGGATGAATGATCAGTTTGTATGAGTGGTGCACATGTATGGTCAGGCTGCACAACTGATGTAGATGTTGCAGAAGAAGAACTTAATGATTCTCCAGACAAAAAGGATACAAAAAATGGCTGCTGGTTAAAACTGATGAGATCAGCCCACTGCTTGGTGTAATTTATTTTTTTGGCAGCATTTCTTTTAATATCATTTATACACGCCTTCACTCTCCCCTCATGTATCTGCTTGTCTGGTTCAGCTACCTGCACCATGCCCTTGATCATCCTGCAAATATCTACAGTTGTCAATTTCTCATTTACAATCAGTCGGGCTATATAGCCTTTCTTAACTGGGTACTCTGGCTCAAAGGATGACAGATATGCTCTCATATCAGAAGCTGTTTTATTTTCCATGGTGAGCTGTGTAAGAAAGTAATATTTATATAAGCATATTATATGCGTATGCAACATCATATGGGAAAAGGGAGGGGGGTGGTGTAATATTGTAATAGTAATTACATTGTTTTTACATCTATTAACTGTATGTGTCACATAGTGTGTAGTATATTTTATATATAATTAAATATATGTATTGTATGTATGTATTATTGTACTATACTATATATATATATATATATATATATATATATATATATATATATATATATATATATATATATAATTATAATAATAAATTCATTAAATTATAATAATTATATCATGTATCATTTAAAATATTTATTTAAAAAAAATTTCAAATTTAATAATTAAATACTATAACATAACTATAAAAATATTGATAATGCATTATCTGTATTAAGAATAAATATAACTTCTTAAAATAAATACCACATAAAAGACAGCTGTTGTTATGGTAACTGCAGTAACGCCTTCCACAAAAGTAACAAAATGGCCTTTTCCTTTTTCGCCTCAGATAAGTCTGATTTAATTAAAAACCATTTCTGTATATCTCCCCTATCACGTCGTTGGGTGTAAACTGACTAAATAGACTTAATTATGGATGATAAAAATACATTTCACAGTTTTAATCAGTTTTAAGAGCCTACAAAATAACTGTATATTAAATAACTACCGATAATTAAAACACGCTGAAGGCTTATTCTAAAGCAACAAGATGGACGCCAATTTCTTCACCCACGATGGTTTCAGGATCGCATCTTGAAAATCCCACTGCAAATCACCCCCATAGAATATACTAATAAAATTTTACAAACTAAAGTTAAATTGGACAGAGAATCGAATAATTACAAGAATATTACGTTTAAATGCGTTGAACGCTATCAAATAATGTGGCTACTTACCGCTATATATTCAAACACGATCGGCAGTAGCAAAACACGATCAAATGCTTTCAGACCACGAGGAATGTGAAAGTCAACCAATTTGCTTTGACTTGGGCTATATATAGCTCGTCGGAATCCCCGAGGTTTCCCGAATGTGTATAACGAATCATCATCGTGAAAAAATTCACCGACAACTTACGGACATTGTTATGGGTAGCAACCCAGCCCGTTCCGTTTCCGGAAGTGCCCGATCGATCGAAGAAAACGTAGTACCTATATAGTGGGTGAAAGTCACACCAACCGCAAAATTTCATGAGAGATTAGGACCCATCCCGAAACCCCAGCCGACATTTGCGTAGCAAGTTTCGAACGGTTTCCATGATAACGGAAATTGCCAAAAGACCGCCAATTGCCGAACACGGAGTTGCAATTGAATTGGCATTGCCGTTATTCGTTATTTTGAATTCAGTTACAAGTACGCTGGTTATTACTAATTGTTTAAAAATGTTAGTGGTCTGTTAAACCATTAGCAGTGTAAATGTAAACTAAAGTTTAGTCGTGGATGTTACTATGAGGCACATGTAGGTAATAAAATAACACAGGAATAAACTAAACAGACGGGAAACACCCCTTGAGTAGTCCATAGGAAAACATAATAGAGACCAGGCTCTTCTCCAAATGATGGGTCTCAGTGATTGCGTTTAAAAATATACCCTAACAGGGCCTCAGTTGTATGTAAAATTTGAATTTCTTTTCAGCGAATACACAAGGGGCGAGCTTAAAATACTAGTACAGCCTTGGTAACGTTGCGTCCGTGTCAGTTGCATGCATAACCCTTCAGTCGTTAGGTATCGCTGTTTGGACTGTTGTGACAATCTGGTGGTGGTGTCGTAATTAAATACTTATACTCATTGCTCTAGACCTAGGACCCAGGGGAGAAGTGGGCTCTAATGCGAATGATAAGAAATCCTGGCTCTCCTTGCAATAACGGTCACTAATTGGACGGCGACGGCTGCTTCGTCGGAGTTCAGTTCCCTGGCTGCAGTGCAATTACGGAGTGAAAAAGAGGGAACGAAACAAATGACATAATTAGGGTTAGGGTTATTGTTTTATTATTCGTGCCTTGTCCACTCCGTAATTGCACTGCAGCCAGGGGACTGAACTCTGACTAAGCGGCCGTCGCCGTCCAAGTAGCGACCGTTATTTCAAGGAGAACCGAAATCCTAATCTTACACACCATTGAGGACCTCCACTACCCATCCAGACTCTTGAATAGGGGGGAAGTCTAGTACCCTATCTGGATCAGGATGTCTTAAAGTTTTGTTGGGCCTGTGGCAGATAAAACATTTTCAGGACCGACAATTTTATAATGCCATTTTGTTTGTTACAGTTAGTAACGAAGTTCCAGAACAACCTGTGATCTCTCCAGCATCTGGCCACATCTTTGAGCGACGCCTGATTGAGAAGTACATACAAGAAAATGGCACAGATCCTGTCTCTAATGAGAAGCTCACAGTGGATCAGCTTATTCCAGTTAAATGTAAGTATGGTTGAAGTACTTGGGTGCCAGTGTCCTGTATACGTGTTCACGGAGGTCAGCCTCTGCCTCGTTTTTCCAGGAACTGCGCCCTATATCACCATCCTCTGTAGACCACCGTGGCGCTTGTTATGTCCAGAATGTCTCAGCTTTCAGGAGAGGATGCTGTTTGTGAGCCAGTTCTCCTTGATGTTCAGGTCATGCAGGATGTCGTTGTTTTTCATCTTCTTGGTCTGCAGTATTCTAAGAACCTTTCTGTAGTATTTCAGTTCATAAGCTCCAATTTTCTTCTTCAGAGACTGAGTGAGAGTCCATGAATCATATCCACAAGTTGCCATGGAAGAGATGATATGGGATTTTAAAATATTTTGTTTCAACTTGCTTGCAGGTGCAGTGCCATAAGTTCTTTAAGTTGTTTAGCATCCAGTTCTGAGTGAATCGAAGCCATTACAGGTCTCTTCATTAATTGCATTTCTTATGTTTTCAGCATATATATTTAAATGGGATGGAGAGAGAATGCAACACTGTCTTACTCCTCTCTGAACCTCAAACCAGTCCGATGTTTCTCCAGATACTCTGACTGCTGCTTGTTGTTCATGATAATTTTACAGAATTAAAATTATGATTCTGGTTTAAATAAAGAAAAAAATATGTAGTTTTTGTCATTTGCTTTCAGCTTCAACCATCGTCAAACCCAGACCACCCTCGGCCACTAGTATCCCTGCTATTCTGAAGTCACTACAAGATGAATGGGTTAGTATTTCTTGTAAAAGCTACGTAGTTTTGACACAGATGTCACAGGTATGCAGTAAACAAGCATAACATATTCACATCATTAGGACGAATGTTGATTTAGAAGAAGAATGTGTGATTATATTCTACAACACCATACAGTTATTTTAAAATAATTAATTCACAAAATCCTGAAGCTAATATGCGGCTGCCTAGGTAATATTTTATTTTAGGGCACATGCTCACGACTGTCTATCTATAATTGGCACCACATAGGGATTGCTGCTGGAGCTACAGTGTTTATACCTTGTGGTGCTATTGGTGGAGAAAGACCTTGTCAAATGTTGTAAAATCCAGTGCAAGGTGGTCCTTTCAACTCAAACCTTTAACTTTTTTCTGCATGAAACTAAGGGATTGCAGGTAGTGATTTGATCAATCTCATTTGTATTGTCTGTGGGACTGCTTTGTCTCGAGGCACGGTGTCCGCCTTGAGTGCTAGAGGTGCTGCCGAGTTCAATCTCTGGTAAGGGCTGGAATTTTTTCACGTGGACTTGGACCTTTAGGAATTTCTACCCAAAGTATTTCAGGATCCTTACTGGTGCTACAGAACCTGTGCACTATGCTGAGCTTTTTTATGCTCAGACTTGAGTTAGAAGAACGGAGCACTAATAGGTTACTGCCTGTGTGCCATGATGTTGATCCGTTGTTGAAATCTCAAACCATTTGTATCGTCTGTGATTTTGAACAGGATGCAGTGATGTTACACAGCTTTACATTGAGGCAGCAGTTGCAGACTGCGAGACAAGGTGAGCTTTAGAAGTCGGTTTTCTTCCTTTGGGGGGGGGGGGTGTCTTACTTTTTGTGTGTGTGGGTACCAGACTACTACTATTTCAGCAATCTCACTACCCCCCTGTAGGCTGTAAACCACTGGTGGCTGTTAAACTGGGATGCCAGCTGGAGATCTCTTAGGCTTTATCAGAGTCCACTGGTCTAGTGGGTGTGGCCATGTGTTTTGCAGCTGCTTCAGGAAAGACATGTTCTGGAGTCTGTTCAGCATGAAGACACTGTCAGAGAGCTGTTTGTGGCCGCTCACACGGCCTGGGGGATACTCTCGGCTGTGGCGGAAGTCGCCAGAAGCCCATAATCGTCACGTGACTGAGGCCCTGTTAGGTTATATTTTTGGCCTCGATAATTTGGGATCGTTATTCAGGAAAATAGCCCTAACATGAACTAATTTAATTAAAGTCTGTCTTGTAGTGTTCCTCATATGTTGCCTGACTTCAGCGTATAATACTTTCAAGTTCAACTGTCTGATTTTGCCTGCCCACTACGAGAGATGGTAACACACAGACTCTTGTGTTCTGCAGGATGAATCTATCTGCCTGTTGACGGTGTCATGTACATGTGATTTTCCTGCTGTTTTTGTTTTTTAAATTTCTATTTTTGTGTTCTCTGTTTTTACGTGTCATTGCTTTACTATGTTTTTACCCCCCAGTTCTTCTTACGTCCTTGATCGTCGACACGGGCCACCCGGGACAGTATTTTAGTCTTTGGTGGCCAGAAGTGTTGAGCCATTTTAAATGGCGCAAAGAACCTATGCCACAATCATAACCTAAATTCTTCGGAAATGTTGGTTGAATGTGACATTTTTTTTTAAACAGACATTTTCTTTTCATTGTTTGTTACCTGCTGCTTGATTTTTTTTTTACTTTCTACTTTTCTCATATTTTTAAAAAAATCTTCTGCTTTTATCGCTCATATCTCTTCTGTTTCATTCATTATTCTTTTGTCATCATTGATTTTTACCTTGTGCCTTTTTTACCCATTCTTCTTTTTTTCTTCTATTTAATTCATCCTTCTTTTGCATTGGTTTCTTTTTTTGTCTTGCCCTCTGTATTTCTCTCATTAGTCCTTTACAACACAGAAGAATAATTACCTTTCAGTAATTGTGAATGGAAAAATATTATTGAAACTTAAACACTTCCTGTGATGTTCACATCTCTGTGTGTTATTCCCCAGAATTATCTCACGCACTTTACCAACATGACGCTGCCTGCCGTGTTATTGCTCGACTTATCAAGGAGGTCACAGCTGCCAGAGAAGGTGAGTAGGGAAGGATAGCCAATTATAGCGTAAGGGGGGGGGGGTATATAGAACTAACTATAGTAGGGACTGAATTATGCTGTGAGATATAGAGAACTAACTATAGAAGGGACTGAATTGTGCTGTCAGATATAGAGAACTATAGAAGGGACTGAGTTTTGCTGTCAGATATAGAGAACTAACTATAGAAGGGACTAAATTGTGCTGTCAGATATAGAGAACTATAGAAGGGACAGTTTTGCTGTCAGATATAGAGAACTATAGTAGGGACTGAATTATGCTGTCAGATATAGAGAACTATAGAAGGGACTGAGTTTTGCTGTCAGATATAGAGAACTAACTATAGAAGGGACTGAGTTATGCTGTCAGATATAGAGAACTAACTATAGAAGGGACTGAGTTATGCTGTCAGATATAGAGAACTAACTATAGAAGGGACTGAGTTATGCTGTCAGATATAGAGAACTAACTATAAAAGGGACTGAGTTATGCTGTCAGATATAGAGAACTAACTATAGAAGGGACTGAGTTATGCTGTCAGATATAGAGAACTAACTATAGAAGGGACTGAGTTATGCTGTCAGATATAGAGAACTATAAAAGGGACTGAGTTATGCTGTCAGATATAGAGAACTAACTATAAAAGGGACTGAGTTATGCTGTCAGATATAGAGAACTATCAAAGGGACTGAGTTATGCTGTCAGATATAGAGAACTAACTATAGAAGGGACTGAGTTATGCTGTCAGATATAGAGAACTAACTGTGAAAGGGTGGAGCTGTGAATAAGATGGAAAAACTAACTTTAGTATGGACCCAGTTCTTCTGCAGACGGCTAGCTGAATGCTCTAGTATTAGTAAAAAAAAGCTTTGCAGAATATACGGAACTATCTGTAGAAGGGGCTGAGTGCTCCTGTGTAAAACAGGGAACTAACTGCAGAGGGGGCTGCATGCTCCTGTGTAAGACAGTTAACTAACTGCAGAGGGGGCTGCATGCTGCTGTGTAAGACAGGGAACTAACCGGAGAGGGGGCATCATGCTCCTGTGTAAGACACGGAACTAACTGTAGAGAGGGCTGAGTGCTTCCATCAAAGACGAGGAACTAACTACAGTAAGGACCCATCTGTTCTACAAAAGACAGAAATAGTTGAAACAGTATTTCCCAAACTTGTATTGGTCGCAGCGCCCTTCTTAAACTGAAATTTGTCTGGGGGGCCCTAACCTAAGTAAAAGTATGACTATTCGTGTCTTGGTTAAATCAGAAGCTTTTAAAATATTTTGCAGCGCATGGTTTGGGAATCACTGAGTTGAAGTATAGGCTGTGTGCTCCTGCTAGAGTAGGTTGCTCCCCCTGCCTACTTCACCATGTACAAAATGCAAGCAGGTGCTCTAAAAATGACGCATAGATATGCTAGAACCACACAATGAAATATTGACTGCAACAAAACAAACAGAAAAAAAAGAAACAGATGTGCCGCAACATAATAACCTCAATAATTTTGTCTCGACAGCTTTGGCCACGCTGAAACCTCAAGCTGGTATGATGGCTCCAGTGCCGGGATACGCTGCTCCAGCCATGAACCCGGTATGTGATAAATCATTTACGAGCGTGGCTACACAGTGGTAGAGTTTGCTTGCACCTGTCTGTCTCTCTAGATGATATTGTTATTTTAATGCTAAGGGGAGGCATGAGGCTCACAGCTGTCTCTGTCTGTTCAGACAAACAGAATGATACAGATGAAGCTAAGAAGCTGTGTCTTCTCCTTCTTCTTCACATTCATCAGCGGTCACCTCTGGTGGGATGTTCTGTTTCTTCATCCACTTCTGGACCTGAGTTTTGCATGCACTTATCTGGTTTATTTGTATGCAAGACTGTTGGTTCCTTGTTTAACAGGCAGATGCACTGTGTTTTAACAGGCAGTTGCACTGTGTTTTAACAGGAAGATGCACGTCTTCAAAGGAAACACCCCCTAGTTAGTCATCCTTTTTGACATGTTTGTAGGGGGAGCGTTGCATGCAAGACAGGCCCCATAACCCAACATGGAAGACGTTAAGTAAAAAGAAGGCAACACATAGATGCAAATGTTTCGATGAAAGTCTTTATTAAAAAATAAGGTGGATTAGTTTCTCTTCTCTTATCGCGGAGTGGACAATTTCTATTTGCTCCTTGTAATGTTTTGCAGTTGCATAATTTGGTCTCAATTTCTCTAAGGATGTTCTTTATGTCATCATTTTCTTTTTGATGTGGTCTTCCCTTTGCTCTCTCTGTTCATTGTGATTTTTCTCCGGGTGGCTGCCTGAGTCAGTTTGTACCAGGACTTTCTCGTCAGATGGCCAAACCATTCTATCTGTTGCAATAGTTGGCTAAAACAGATAAAATATCATGCCCATGAATAGATAATCCTTGTGTTTTCATTGAACAACACAAACAGAACCCTCCGTTTAGGAAATTTTATTTTTCTGCATCAATTGTTTGCATTGTATCTTTGATCACAAACAGAAGGCAAGCTTGAGGCTTTCACTGGAGCCCCGTAGTTTATCTTACAGCTTTGTCTAGATGTCTTCTTTGAGGCTCGTAATGTCTGAGCAGTCTTGTACAAGAGGAATTTCACTAAATGAAATATGGAATGGCGTTCCCAGTTTAGAGCAGAAGTAAAGAATATGACCATTTAGGCGTATTGGGCATATAGGGCTAGAACTGAATTTTTTTATACCAATTGTCGCTCGTGGGTGATATCATTAGCATCATGCTGGCCACATTTACTTCCCAGGACTTTGCCTGGTGCCTGTTTTAGGTTGCGTTGACCTGGGAGCCAAGGACATTTTAAAAAAAAGTCCAGCTGTGTTGTGTTTTTGAACCCACAACCTTCAGATCTGCAGGTGAGAGTCTAGCCACTACACCACAGCAGTCCCCACAGAGGCGAAGATAGATCATGGAATACAAACATGCAACTAACATCTTTAAATCATCATCATATGGCAAGTTCTTTACAGAATGTCTCCCCTATCACGCCTGAAAGAAAAGTGCTCTCCCGCCTCATGCACTTTGACATCCAAGGAGTCACTTGTTTCCTGTGCCCATCTTCATGTTGTTTGTCACCTGCCCCTCCTTCCTGGTACCATGCCTTGTGCTATTATTTTTTTAGTCCGCAATGGTGCTTGATGTTCATTTCTTTTGGAATGTCAGTATTTCTTGTGTTAAGGTCTGAGAGATAGTCCACGGCTCTCATCTGTATGTTGCTACTGTGAAGATTTCTCTTCTCTAATTTGTAGCTTTGATGTCCTTGTTGGTGCTCAGCTTTTAAAGCTGTTGAATCTGGTATCTAATTAAAATTCAAATTGCTTACTGTTTTTTAATTTGACTATTTCAGGCCATTGCTGCCGAGGCTGGACCGGAGACGGCCACACAGCCTGTAGAGGAAGCTGTGATGAGTGAGGAGGTCATCAAGAAGGTAAGCTATATAAAAAAAATCACCTTGTTGGCAAGCTGTTAAATTTGAGATTTTGTCTCGTGAGTATTTTATTCTGTGGCCTTTGGCCTGGCAAATAGTCTCACAATGATCACGTACCAGATAGGAAGTCAGGCGATCTAGTAGCAGTTCGCTTTGCCCTGATTTTGGCAGTGGTATGAGGGTTGTATTGTAATTGCCTGGTAAAATCATATGCCTTCCTGTAAATTCAGAGGTTGTTTTGTAGCATTGTGTAAAGCACATGCGGTGTAACTAGTTGACCGTAAAATTGTAATATTTTCAGCAGTGTGAAATGAAATATCTTTTATCATCATCATCAGCACAAAGTATTTTATCCTTAGGAATAATCTTGAAGAGTCTTGATGCTCCCATTCCTTAGTTTACTTGTAATTTTTATTGCTGTCAGCTGCATGTTGCTTCGATATATATCTAACTTCTGGCCCAAACATGGCAGTCCTCTGTTTAAACATACGAGTATTATTTGACATTTCTCAGATGACACACAGTTTGTAGACTTGATGCATCAGCTGATTCACTATACAATAATCTGTACTGAAGTGGATTCAAGGTTACTGTGGCTGTGAAGGCAAATAATTAACTGACAGATTGGGCATAGGCGTCTGTGACATGATACAACCAAATAGTGACTTAACCCACCAATTTACTGAGGCATTAATACAGTCTAGCATGCACACATGCATTTTCTCCTAAAGACTTGCTTCTTTGCCTCAATAATAGGACAATATGTTATATATTCAGTTAAAGGGCAGGGCACAACAGACTTTGCCAGCATATGTTTTTTGGCATAGGAAACATGGAAATGCTGAGCATGTACTTCAACACTGTTGACTGTGTGCTGTCAACAGAGACACGGTCTGGGTTGTTGCAACCACAGTGAAGACTAAGCTGTGTGGTGCATGGGAGTATTCGGACTACGATCCCTTTTATTAAAGCTACCAGCCTCCAGAAATAAGTTTATGGCATCCTGCCAAATGTAGAATGTAAAAGGAACTGTAAAGGCATTTCATAATATTTTTGTCCTGTTTGTGGGGCAGAGAAAGAGGATATGCCACTCAAATCCTCCTGGGTATGATGAGCTTGGAGACACGGAGATGGATAGTGCGTTGGAGAACGGAGCATGATTGGGTCCGACTAATGTGCTTGGATGTCTGTATGGGTAACAATTGAGTCCATGATTCGCTTCCATATGTCAGGATCAACTTTATTTTTGTCTTCCACCACTTAACTCAACAGATCTAAGTAACATCTTTGTGCTTTTTCTGATGCATTTATCTTTATTTCTCTAAGAATTTTCTGTGCCTCTATTCAATATTTTACACGGTCTTCCTCTTTTGTTTGAGTTTTATTATATTTCTCTGAGACGAGAAAGATAATTCTTAAAAGCTACATGAATCCTATTCTGAAATACAGAAGCTAATCATGGACTGTTGGTCGATTTTTTGGAAGCTTTGAAGAAATGATTTTATAGACAAATGGATAGATAAAAAGAGTAGTGAAGATGTCTTGAAAAAACTCACATTAAATCATTTGTGTTTATTGGTAGTACATGTAATAGAAGGTGGTGGCTAGACATGACTACCAACAGCACACTGCGTGGACTATAAGAAGAAGATATTTCTTCAGCCTTGCATTTGATGTCATTCTCTTCAGATGGGCAGACAATCTCATCTGTTCTTGTACGGCTTGTGTGACTAGATGAATTCCTGTCTTCTAATTTCTTCACTTTAAACTGTATCTCGTCCTACATGTACAGTTCTGGTGAGTAAGACAAAAGGAGATGCTTTGATTAATATGTTTATTTTGTTTGTTAACAGCTTCAAGACAAAGCTACTTTGCTAACTGCAGAAAGGAAGAAGGTATGTAGCCTGTTTATCACTCTTGTCTTATGTATTCTTGTCTTTTTGAAATTATTGAGACATTATGTCCCCGTACGGGTTCCAGGGCCACATTTGGAACACACACATGCCGCCACCATCCCCCCCCCCCCCCCCCAAAAAAAAATGTATTGCCAATTATTGGCCATAGTGCCGAGTGAAAGTTCATTGTTTAGTACCACAGCTTATAAATCCAGCCTGGATGTCATGTTGAACCAACATTGGTAGACTTACCCAGCTATACAAATTTGCAAAAAGATAAAAAAAAAACCTCAGGCAAAATGTAGACAGGGTTGTACAGAATAAAACAGAACGAATCAACTACGAGCCGCCCTGTGTGGCGCACAACACAGCAGGATAGTAATGCTGTAACTAGCCATGGTTTTAATTAAAAAAAATATAAAAACTCACCAGGTGGGTTCTGAGGTCCCATTTTGAGAAAAACAAGAACAGACCCATTGTCTTCCTGACAAGCGTGTCATAGGAGTAGACTAATTAGGGACATCCGTCGAGGTCAGAGTGCATCTGCCTGAGAGGCAAGGACCGAGAGTCTGTATACAGATGTTCATGCAACACTGAGAATCTGGAACTAGATTACAGTCGGGAGGTCGATGAATGCCCAGAACTTTCTGCTGGAGCTCACAGCCTGTGAACACATAGAAACAGAAGAAGACAAAAGTTATTGTATTTAATGTTTTCATCTATTTTTTTTTCCACAGAGAGGTAAAACTGTACCTGAAGGACTGGCCACCAGTGAAGACATCCGCAATTACAGACAGCTGGTTTCACACACAGTGAGTGTTCTCTCTAGCATGTGTGTTCTCGGAGGGGATACTGGGTGGCGTAGGCTGTTATGTCTGTCCACAACCTTCTGTCTTATGTTCTTGTTTTTATAAGGTAGAAGAGATTGTATATGATTCATCATATTGCAGGTAATTTGCAGAGCACTAATATCATCATGGCCTGCCTGAAAAAAACTTGGTCTCTCATCTCTCCATCCTCATGCACTTTCATATTCAAGAATGACTTATATCTTGTGCCTGTCACCATCGGCCCCATGGTATCATGCCTTCTATTATTTTTTTTTTCTAATCCTCCATGGCAGTTTATGTGACTACCATATTTAAGCTCTGAGGCGGGATGCGGTTTATTCCCTGGTCTTCCTTGATATTCAGACCTTTTAGAATGTCATATGTCTTCTCTTCTTTGTCCATGGGATTTTGAGAATCTTTCTATAGTATTTCAGCTCAAAAGACCCTATTTTCTTTCTGAAGAACTGGGAGTTGGTTCTCGAAACACATCTGCATGGTAATAGAGAGAACATGAATACTCTCATAATTTTATTTTTGATTTCCTTGCTGGTGCTTAACCATAGAATTCTGTTAAGTATGTTTTTAGACATGGCAATTCCTTGGGTGAGGCTGCTACCAGAGCACCATGTATTGACTCTGCGTTTAATGGAAACCTTCTTGCTTGGCGAGGAATGCTCATGTTCCGCTCCTGCCTTCTCTTGAGGGCGGACCAGCATTACCTGGCTGTTCTGGGCTGCCCTGATGAACTAGGACACAAAGATGACCTCACAAACTGACTGGAAAGGCTAACCCATACAGAAATGCCTGCAGAAATCGTATGTGTTGTTGCAATGGTGCAACTATCACAGCCATGTTGTAAACAGGCAGAGCGCATTTCAATCTTCGGGTGAATGAAGAAGAAAAAAGAAATGTTATTAGATTTCGACATCTTCCTTATGCATGTATTTACATGTGGTGGTTCTTCTTCTTAAAGTATATGCCGTGTGGCGTTGATAGTAATATTAGTAATGTCTATCCACAATCTTCTGTTTTGTGTATTTCAATCAACTCTCACACAGATGATCCCCCATGCCATGATATCAAACTATCCAGCATCTGTTCTCTCCGTCTCCCTCTGCCTCTCCTTCTATACAACTTTTCTACTGTCACGATATACTCCAGTTTTCTCCTTCTCATCACATGACCAAAGAATGTAGATTGTCTCTTTCTGATGTGGGCAATCAGTTTCTTTCAACTTGTGGTTAGAATGTTAATTTTTGTGTATTAGGGTTGGATGGAGCTAAGAACTGACATTACACACTGGGAATTTCCCTAGGTGTACCACTTCAGCTAGCAAAAAGTTGCAACTCCAATGGTACCAGTAGAAGAAATTTGTCATGTGCGTCCCTCCTTTCCTGTGAGTGTAGATAAGGTTGACTGGATCCCTCTGGTCACTCCTAGCTGTACCATTCTCTCCAGACACCATTAATGATCTCTTTATTCCTTTGCATTGTTTATTTGCTCCCAGAAGGCCATGACCACATCTAGCTCATCACTTCATCACTGCTTAGTGCAGAAGCAATTAGTTTATGTCTGTTCATTTCCCAGTATGCCTGCATGACCTGGAGAAAATATTTAAAAAATACTGGTAACTGAACAGGATCTCTGAAGCGATGCTTGCCACTGCATGGGGTACACCTGTCTCCACCTTTCTAAGCAAGTTTTTCTTAGAGTTGAAATTGTTGGTGCTCGTTGAAAAATGAAGACGTGTCAGGACTTCTTTTCAAGATGGTGTATGAAGCGAAAGAAGGAATAAATGCAACAAAGATTCGGGAAATCTAATTAAGTTATAGGACAAATGGCACCAATATTGAAATGCAGGCACGAGAAAATAAACACTAGACGAGCACTATTCAACACAGCATTCTTACCAGCGCTATGTTATCGAAAATGACAGAAATAAAATGTTTACATGTTAAGCTAGCTGTAACTAGGATAGACTGACTTAGGAATGATGAGGAGATTCGGCACAGAACAGGTCAAATGGTCTTATAACAAGATTAGCAACATGCAAGGCAACATCGAGAGCAGTGTCCTACAGATACAGCAGTTACAAAGGTAGAAGGTGGACCACAAGAATATCACAGACACTAAAAAGTATTATTACAGTGTGAACAGAAAGGCTCATTTCCACAAGTCTTCACCTGCAATGATGCTGCAAGGCATTCTAGGAGTAGAGAAAAGAAACAGAAGAAAGTTTAGGAAGGTGCTGTGGAATTGGAGTGTAGAAAGTTTTTTAGCCGAGTGACCAAGATCCAAGTATATAAAACGTTGATAAGACCAGTCGTGGAGCACAACTAAAAGAGATTAAGCCTTTTTACAGGTTTTAGAAAACAGTCTTACAACGAACCTTTAGACCCATCAAAGATGCAAACAGCGGGGAATTGAGAGTGAGAAGCAACAACAAAATTCATAATATGTTTAATAATTGATTACTGGCATCATGAGATCTAATAGACTGAAATAGTTGGGGCATATTAAAAGAATGTCAGATGACAGAAGTAAAAACTGTAAACACAAGGGAGATGAATGGTCGTAGACCACGAGGCAGACCAAGAAGACAATGGAGAGAAAATGTCCAGACAGACCTGCAAACACTTGATGTCACCAACTGGAAAGAGAAGGCCAACCAGCGAGATGAATCAAGGTGGGTGATATTTGCAGCAATGAACCTCAAGAAGGGCTCGGAATGCTGAAGAAGACGACTTTCTTGTGACATTTTGTAGCCACATATTCTGAATTTTATTCTCCCTTCTTGTCTTCAGGGCCTCCACAGCGCTAGTGTCCCTGGTATTCTGGCCCTGGATGTTTGTCTCAAGGACACATCGAAGATCGTCACCGGTGGCAACGACAAGAATGCTGTTGTGTTTAACAAGGACACAGAGCAGGTCATGGCCATCCTGAAGGGTCACACGAAGAAGGTTACAAGCGTCATCTACCACCCAGAAGAGGTCAGTGGTCACCGAGAAAAGAAACTAGTTTTTACGTGCTGGGATAAGTAATTAGTTTTTACATGCTGGGATAAGTAACTAGTTTTTACGTGCTGGGATAAGAAACTAGTTTTACGTGCTGGGATAAGAAACTAGTTTCTTTATGTTGAATGGCAATTCTCTTATTCTAGCAGTATTTTTTTTCTAGGTTGTGTGGGTTTCTTAGTGGTTCAGAGATTGGTCAGTTGCAAGTTGCTCAGTTCAATAGGAAAAGTTGGAAGAAATAAAGATAGACTGGTGATTCACGGTTTACACAGGCAAGGAAGAGAATGGTTTGAGCGGAGTGGGTTTTTTATGACCCAAAAAAAAAAAAAAATGTTTCTTTATCACTTCTTGGCTACAATTCCTTCAGCGACCGAATTCTCACTGTCAGACTTAAGTCAAGGAATAGGAACATCACAATTATTCAGGCAGAGGTTGACCAACACGAAGATGGGCACAGGATATGACTGCTTGAATTTGAAAGTAGACGCGGCAGGATAGCCGGTGAGAGTTTCTTTGAGGCAAGCCGTGATTAGAGTGACGTTCTGCGAAGGACCTGCTACATGATGATAGTGATTCAAACCTAAAAACTAGAGATATTTTGCATTCTTTAATTAATTTTGCTTTAGAAAACTGGAACATAGAGATTATTGAATGCATTTTGCAATTCACAACATGAGGGTTTGATCTTTATGGCGAACTGTTTGGGAAAAGACTGTTCTTACTGCTTTCAGTGAGTGGTACATGACTTGCAACATTTGAAAATGATTGGGGCCTCAGAACCTAATATTACCAAATCAGCTTGGCAAACGCTAACAACATTTACCTATCTACACAGCAAGGGTAAAAAAAGAATTTAGATATATGTGTGTTTTTGTGAACTAAATTCACCAAAGTGGGAGCAAGAGAGAAACCATGCAGAAAGATTGGACGACGGCAACAGAAAAAAAACAGCCCCCTCATCCCGACACACACACACACACAGTGTAATGAGAAAACTATAGAAAGAGAAGTTGTTCGGTGCGCCTATCTACTGCAGCGACTTCCATTTCTAAGATAGAACTTAATTTGTCAAGAAATTTTACAATTTTATTAGAGTGTATTGATCATATTTTAATTGAACTCTATCCTCTTTTGTCCAGGAATTGGTTATCACAGCATCACCTGACAACACGATCCGCGTGTGGGGAATCACTACCGCACAGTGTGGGCAGATCATCCGGGCACACGAGGCACCGGTGACAGGAATCAGTTTGCACGCAACTGGGGATTATTTGCTCTCCTGTTCAACTGACATGGTGAGTCATGGCTTCCTATAACTGTTTACTTAGTGTTGCCGTGTTTAGGAGTTTAAAGTGTTCTCGTGTTTAGAAGTTTAAAGTGTTGCCGTGTTTAGGAGTTTAAAGTGTTGCCTTGTTTAGGAGTTTAAAGTGTTGCTGTGTTTAGGAGTTTAAAGTAGACAAGACAATCCCAGTCAGCACAAAGAAATATCTCGATCAAAGCATTTTCATTCGCACCCTATGGTACCAGTGTCAGGCATGGTCGCTCACCCACACAAAAAACATACAGGAAAATTAGAAACAATGGAATTTAGGTGTCTGAGAAACATTGAGAAGAGACAAAATCAGGAATGTTATAAGAGAAAAAGTCGGCACAGAACCAATTTTAAAATAAATACAGAGACAGATGATCAAATGGTTTGCCCACTTAGAGAGAAAGCCTTGTGACGCCATACAAGGTATACACCACATGAGAATGACATACAGCATGAGGTAACTTCTAGTAAATGACTTTTTGCATGTTATTGCTGGAGCTTCGTTGTTGCATACCTCTTCTTGTGATGACTGATTGATCCTGACACACAAGTTCTTGTGATGACTGATTTATCCTGACACACAAGTTCTTGTGATGACTGATTTATCCTGACACACAAGTTCTTGTGATGACTGATTTATCCTGACACACAAGTTCTTGTGATGACTGATTTATCCTGACACACAAGTTCTTGAGATAAAATTGACTATTTTTGAGAGTTGCCTTTTAGTTCCATACAACTTTTAGGGCAATTCAAAAATGGACTCCTCCAGAGTTTTAAATTACGTGAACACCTTGTATGTGATCTGCTACTGCACATTGGAGACGTTTACATATCTACTTTATCTTTGACAGCACTGGGCCTTTTCAGACATCCGTACTGGTCGAGTCTTAACAAAGGTTGCAGAAAAGTCTGGGCAGATGGGTAAGTCGCGCTCTCCAGATTAAAAAAAAAGTTTGTGAAAATTATTATTTATTTACAATTCTTACCCCCGCCCTTCTTGGCGGTGTCTTATTACAGCCGGTGGTTTACGTCTGCCGTTATTGTTTATAGTTGCCGACACTCTAGTCTTCCCCTTCTTGTAATACTTTGCGCTGAAGCGACAATGTTGCAACCTATGAAGGAGACAAATAGGAGAATAGTATCACATGGAAAATGTATGGCTCTGAGGGTCCCTAATTCTTGGTAGATTTTTTGATGTTTCCATCAGCTCTTTTATTGTCACTGGTAATGTGCCCGAGGACACTTATCATGGAAGCTCATACTGAAAGATCGGAACATCAAGGAAGATTGGCTAATAAACAGCATCCTGTCTCGAAAGCTGAAATATTTTGGTCATATCAAGCGACGCGGCGGATTGGAAAAAATTAAAGCAGAAAAAATGGTACCAGGAAGGAGGGGCAGGGGCCGACCAACACGAAGATGGGCACTGGATATAAGTGACTCCTTGAGTATGAAAGTACATGAGGTGGAAGAGCTGGCGATAGACCGAGTTTCTTTCAGGCAGGCCTTGATGAGAGCGACGTTCTGCAAAGGACCTGCTACATGATGATGATGAATATGCCAGAGACAGAAATGGGAGCAATCTCATGATACTGAAAGCTGATCATTTGATTGGTTGTGAATCCCCTGAATGCTTATTGTATCACTTTTTCCTTATTTTGCTTATCGGGTTAGTCAGTATTTACGGTTGCAGTTACAGGTGAGATTTGGGTGTGTCAGTGGTACTGTGCCGACAGTTCATAGACTATCTACACGATCACAGTTCTAATAGGGTCACATACTAAGATAGTAAGCAGCATTCCTCCACCGTGAGTTTCATACTCCAGGTGATAAAATATGCTGAAGAACACGGCAATATGTAGGCAGAACATAATTTCAGACCTCCACCGATGGGGAAAAACCATAAGGTCTGGGCAGGATCTTATGTACAGGGTGAACCAAGGAAATTACACAGCATTCTTGATAGTTGTCTTAAAAAAATACATTTTTTTTCTGTTGGGGTGCATCTTGTGTAAGAGAGCACCTTATACACTGACAAAAAGGTATGATATGAAGATCTTGTCTGTTCCCCAGCTCCAGCACTGACCTGTGCTCAGTTTCACCCAGATGGTCTTATCTTTGGCACGGGCACCGATGACTCCATCATCAAAATTTGGGATCTGAAGGAGAGAACCAACGTGGCCAACTTCCAGGGTCACCAGGGGCCCATCACTAGCATCTCATTCTCCGAAAATGGTCAGTGGTTTGTGTGTTATCCTGTCTCACTGCAGTTTGTGTGTTATCCTGTCTCACTGCGGTTTGTGTGTTATCCTGTCTCACTGCGGTTTGTGTGTTATCCTGTCTCACTGCAGACTGTCTTCATTGTGTCTGACGAGAGTGTCTTAAATGTAACTACTTTTCTGCCTCCTCTTGGCTGTTAAAGACTTAGACTGTGGTGAATGAGAGGCCCAGAATATGGAAGTGAGGTTGAAACAGTCATGAGCAGAATGTGATGATTCCTTGGGGTTACTCAGTACCAGAGCACCATGTAATGCTTGTGTTCTGCCCCTAAATTTAATGTAAATTTAAACAATGCGGACACAAACATTAGACATTTGCTAAAAGTGATTAAGGCTGTATCAGTGAAACTCTGCTCCTCTATGTTATGTAAACAGAAAGATCACGTGATCAGTTTGAAGTTGCCATGGTAATCATGTAACTGATTATGAATTTCTGGAGGATAGATGTATAGCAGCTTGACAGTGTGGTTTATATATTTCAGCAAGAAAAGGTTTTCATTTTGTTCTTCACTATATGTTGATTCAACTCTGTAGTAACGCACCTGGCACGAGATAACAGCGAAATATGGCAGGCAATAAACTGTGCAATGTAATGATTGTGTCCGCATGATTTAAATCTTCTAAAAACTGATTTCTGTTAACTAGTTTTCCTATCTCCTTGTGTATTTTAAACATTGTTTCTCTGATTTCTATTGAATGTCTTTAATTCATCTTCAGACCTTGAGGCTCACTACATAACATAAAATTTGACCCATTAGGATCGTGGAGGTGTATTGATGGAAGCACTAGCACATAAAACCCGCATCTTTCTGTCTTCTGCTTGATGAAAAAGTGTATGAAAACTTAGTCCTGTCCCTTTCTTGATGTTGTCATTCCAAGTTCTTCTTTGCCCTCCTCTTCTTCAACTACTTCTTTGAAGTAGTCTTCGCAATTGCATCATGTCTCACCACGTGCCCAAACCACAACTCTTATGTGTACAGTTTCACCCCCCCCCCCCCCCACCCCCCTTGTCTCTATATATTTAAACCATTGTTTATTAGCTCTTTTGACTGACATACTGCCCTGTTTGTGTTGAATTTTATTTACCAAATTGTGAAAATATGGGGGTGACTACAGTCAAGCTAATACAAGGAATTACAAATTTGACTAAAAAGCTCAACAAAATGAGGAAGAAGGAAAACGTGCACAAAACAACACAACGTATCGTTTTGACCGGGCAGCCTTTTTCAAACATAGGTGAACTACACAAACGTAACGAGGAGAGGAGAGTATGTAGATCCCTGAGAGGTGACGTGTGCAATGTTTAAAATAATGTGATGTGGAATAAATGAAATGAAATAAAATAAACGATGGCTAAAAAATATAGTCACAAAAAAAAAAATATGCAGTAGTATTTAAAATGTGATAAGAGAATAACTATTTAGATATGTTGGATATTGATACCACTTGGACTAAGAACGCCTAGGGTGTGGATGAGGCAATTTTCCAAAGTGAGGCGCTTAGTATGATCGCCAGAGCAAGATTTTAATGCTGTGACAGATATATCATGTTTACTACTGTGGTCAGAGCTATTAAAACGGAGAGGGATTGGTTTAAGTGTCTTCTTGTCAATATCAGAGAGGTGTTCCTGGAAACGATCAGCTACTTACCAAATACTGCCTTGTTTATCCGTTTATGATGGTATTGTCTGGCTAATGCTGTCCCGATTGTACTTTTATGATAGTGTTATCTGGCTAAAGCTGTCCAGAATGTCTGTGTACGATAGTGTTATGTGGCTAATGCTGCCCTAATTATCTGTTTATGATAGTATTATCTGGCTAGTGCTGTCCCTATTATCTGTTTATGATAGTGTTATCTGGCTAATGCTGCCCTAATTATCTGTTTATGATAGTATTATCTGGCTAGTGCTGTCCCTATTATCTGTTTATGATAGTGTTATCTGGCTAATGCTGCCCTAATTATCTGTTTATGATAGTATTATCTTGCTAATGATGTCCTAATTATCTGTTTATGATGGTATTTTTTTTATCAGTACTGTCTTGTTTCTCTGTTTGTGATGGTGTTATCTGGCTAATGCAGTCCCATTTATCTGTTTATGGTTGTATTATTTGGCTAATGTGGATCTGTTTATGGTAGTATTATTTGGCAAATGCTGTTCCTATTTACACAGGTTATTACCTGGCAACATCAGCCGAAGACTCAGTGGTCAAACTTTGGGATCTGCGCAAGCTCAAAAATTTCAAAACCCTTCAGCTGGAGGACAACTACCAGGTGACGGCCTTGTGCTTTGACCAGAGTGGCACCTACTTGGCCGTGGCCGGAACAGATGTCAGGTAAGTGGGTCATTGGGTCATTCCTGGCCTTAGGCATATCTCAGGTTTTAATCCAATAACTGCACTGCTTTAGACCAGTTATTTCCTAAAAGAAATCTTATAGAGATTAGGAGCAAATCCTAGTTTGTGGAAGTGAATCATGGATAGTTAGCAGAGAGCACTCCAAAGATATGGTTTTGTAAAATGAATAAGAAACTGGAGAGATGTGATTTTATAGACAGATGATAACACACTGGACACATTAAAGAGGGTAATGAAGACGTCTTGAAAGATATTAACTTATGAAAAGTGGTGATTACCCATATCAGAAGGAGATGGTCTGTATTCTTTGCAAGAGGAAAATGGCTATCCACCTTTTCTGCCATGGCTTTGACCATGTGAAGACACAAATCTTGACTCTTCGTCAGCAGTTACTCTGATAAAAATGTCTGTTTAAATTTACATAGTTGATCATATATCAAACTCTACTTCATGTTTCTTTTCTTCATCTTTATTCTATCTTTCAGCGTCTGATTTTAAAGAGGCATTGGGTGTAAGCCTTGGTTGTGTCACATAGATGCTCCTGTTTATGCCTCTGTCTATTCATGGCTTGTGTGGTTATCCTGTAGGACTGCTTCCATTATGTCTAAGTGACAGGACTCCTTGTGATGCATTATCTGACGCATGTTGATCTGACATTTGATCTGTTTTCTCTTGATGTAGAGCAGCGGTTCTTAACCTGCCGGTTGCGACCATTTTGTGTGTATGGGGTCTAATGACTCTTTCACAGGAGTTGTCTTAAGACCATCCGAAAATAATTGTTTGAGGTTCGCCACAACATGAGAGGAATGTATTAAAGGGTCGCGGCGTTAGGAAGGTTGAAAGCCACTGATGTAGATAAAAACTGGTTCCATCCCAACTTCTTTTCTGATGTCTTCATTTTGAATACTGTCTCTATTAGTTCACAATCATCAGGTGCCTTGCCGACTGGCGTGGGCGATCATGCCTCTCCATAATTTGCGATCTCCTGCAGCATGTATCAGTTCGTGTGCCGACACACCTCCATGCCATGCAACAAGACTGTCAAGCATCTTTTCTCGTTGTCTTCCTCTATCCTTCCACAGATCTTTCCAGTGGCCACAACATGTTCTATTTTCCCTCTTCTCATAACATGGCTGAAAAATTATGACTGTCTCATTCTGATGTCTGTGATAAGTTGTCTTCGGGCTCCCGCCTCTTTCAAAACCTCTTGGTTGCTCTTTTTGGCTGTCCAAGGTATTCTAAGCATTCTTCTGTAAAACCACATCTCTGAGGCCTCCAGAAATTGTTTGGCCTGCCTACCGATTGTCCAGGATTCACAGCCATATGTTAAAACTGGATGTATATAGCAAGCAAGAATTCTTTTTCTAACACCACAACTCTATTAGTTACATTTAGGATTTGTCGTAGGCATTTAATTTCTGTTGTTTCAATTTACAAATCCTAAATGTAACTCTATTAGTTAAATTTAGTATTTGTCATAGGCATTTAATTTCTGTTTTTCAATGTTTCTGTTTTATTTTCTTATTTAATTGTGAATGTCCACATTACTTTGTGTTTCATGGAACCAAAAAGAATCAGATTGGAACTGACTAGGAATTGAAAAGGGATCTGAAAGAAGTTAAAAAGACACAAGTGAAATATTTCAACAACATGAAAAGACTTTTAAAAACCATAGAGAAAAGTTAAAGGCATTTAAACAGCAGTTTTCCCGTGTAGTTTTGTCCTTTTTAGGACTAAATTTTCCGTTTTTTTTAAGCCCCACCCTGGCTTTTGCCAGGGGCCGCAATATAGGCAGGCCATAAATATGGCCAATTGTCTGAACGCGGTTTCTGGGACCTCTCCACGGCGATCCTCATCCACATGGTGGCACTTTGTGTTTATCGCTTGTTAGTTAGTTAGTTAGTTAGTTGGGTTATCCTCATTGCACTCCGGACATGTCCATAGGTGCTCAGATCCTCCCCTCAGTATGAACCCCAACGTCCGATGGCTAATAGTACCAGTTCTATGTTGATTAACAAGTCTTCTGGCGTAGCTGGTGTGCGTCTCGTATTTTGCTGTGCCGATCTTAATTCCCAAGTCTGCCATTCTGGCGAGTGATGTGGATTCACTGCCACCAAAGTCCTCTATCCTTCCCATTTCTCTGAGGGCTTATCGCTTGTGTGATGTCCCAGTGGGGTATAAAGTCAGTCAATCAGTTCTCCGTGTGGGTTCCATGGACCTTTTATGGGTTAAAAAGAATGGACCCACTGCTTCCCTGACAGGTGTGTCACAGGAGGTGACTATGGTTTTTCTTCAAAGTCAAGAGTGCATTTGCTTAAGAGGCGAGGAACCAACAGTCTGTATACAAATAAGTCAGATCTGTAAAATGGATGTGCACACAAAACTTAAATTCTGGGACAACAGTAAAGTTCAGAAGTGGACAGATTACCAGAACTTTCTGCCAGAGATTACAGCCGGTGAACGTGAAAAAGAAGTGCACAGTGATACAAGTGTACTGGTACGTGTAGACATAGACAGACAAACCTGTGTGGGTTGAGGAGCCCTATATCGGGGGAGGAGAAAAAAAAGGATTGCGCCAGCTGTTCCCTAACAAGCATGCCATCAAAGAGACAAAGTACAGGTTGGACGTGTTGAACCGAATGGTGCCAAAATTGCTGCATACATCTAAACTGCTACATAATATGTCAAACAGCCTTTGGAAAGCAGCTGCAGAACAACAACACAAATAACAGTCTGTGTGTGTGAGAGAAAGAAACAGTAAAAATGCCAACCTTTATTACAGTGTTGAATGTTGAATTAAGAATTGAAATCACAGCACCCAGGACACTCCTATCAGTGTTCAGTCCCCCATCTTCAGCAGTAAGCGAAGAGTTCCAATTCCGATGGTACTAGTAACAGTCTGATTGTATATCTGTCTCATATTTTCCCTTAGTGTTGAGCGTCGGCCAGATCCCCTGGTAACTCCTCGCAGCGGCCTTCTCCTTAGACCGTAGTGATCTATCTGTGCCCCGCACTGTTCTTTATTACAGAAATGGCAGATCATTGATTAATAGAGTAAGTTATGAAATCTGTTTTTCTGTGTCCACTTGTGCTTACTTCTGATGCCTTGTTTTTCTCATTCTGCCAGGGTGTACCTGTGTAAACAGTGGAACGAACTGGCCATCTTCAACGACCACACCGCAGCGGCTACAGGGGTTCGATTCGGCCACAATGCTACGTTCCTAGCTTCAGTCAGCATGGACCGATCCGTGAAATTTTTTGGTTCCGTGGAATAGCCCTTTCTCTTGTGATGGATTAAATATTTTAACACTTGAAATAATTTATGTTCATGTCATGCCTGTTTACGTTATTGAGAGCATGTTCCTGTTTTATTTGGGTTTTATAACAAATAAATAGTGTTTTATTTACTCGTTTGACCACCACACTTTTTCAGTTGAATTTTAGCCAAATAAATGCCTGCTTATTTTTATAGGGTTATGCTAGAAGGTGGTACAATGGTTAGTTTTGCGTGCCTGTCAACACAGTGGCCTGGATCCAATACCTTAGAAGAGCCTGGATTATTTTTCACAGTGAACTGCTCTAGCGTTAGCCCAGAGTATAGGAATTGAGTGCTTTTTCTTCTTCTTCAGCATTACAGGCCTTGGGGTTCATTGCAACAGATATCACCTGCCTCTATTCATCTCTCTGGTTGGCCTTGTCTTTCCAGTTGGTGACATCAAGTGTTTGCAGGTCTGTCTGGACGTTATCTCTCCATTGTTTTCTTGGTCTACGACCATTCATCTCTTTTGTGTTTACAGTTTTTACTTCTCTGTCATCTGACATTCTTTCAGTATGCCCCAACCATTTCAGTCTATTGGCTTTTATGAAGCCAGTGATCAGTTGTGATTTAAACAGATTATGAATTTCATTGGTGCTTCTCACTCTCCATTTCTCGCTGTTTGCATCTTTGATGGTTCCAAATATTCTCAGCGTATAAGACTCTGTTTTTGAAAACCTGTCATAAGGCTTCATCTCTTTTCGTTGTGCTTCAAGTTTCAGAACCATAGACGACTGGTTTTATCAATGTTTGATATATTTGGATCTTGGTATTGCGAGGCATACACTTTGACTTTAGCAGATTTATTGAATTTAATACTGATTGTGAGAATTTACCGGAGTCTTAGAAGGAAAGGTGGCGAGTAAAACTTTTTAAAATAGATAGACTAGTCAGTACACACTTGTTGCTGCCCCAGCCCCGGGGAAAAAAACACCCCTGCCAGTTACTGCCTTTATTTACCTTTTTGCGTTATGGGCATCGGTGTCTTTGAGCCCAAAGATTTAGGGGCCACATGGCTAGTGCTGTCACCACTAACTGTGCTGGTTAGGATGTGTTGTGTGTACCCTGGACAGAAAACAAAATCCATGACCAGTTGAGAACCTGTTTCTGTGAAAGGGCCTCAAGTGAAAGCCTTTAAAGTGTGATAGTAATTACACCCTCCTACCCCAAAAAAAATTGTTTTGTAACCTGTCAGTATTGTTGTTAAGGATGTCAAGAGTGTTAAGCACATTGTGACAGTTTAAAGATATCCACGCCTCTTCTGACATGCACAATGGCAGAGCACAATTTTGTTATCCGTTAAAACAAATCAATCAGTGCAGAAAAAAGTGTAAAAATTCATTGATCAGATCCATTGCGTTTGCGCGCACCTGTCAGTCCAGCAGGCATGTGAGGAGTAGGAAGTTTCAAAACACGGTGAGTTCTGTGACAGACTGTTGACAACCACTAGATCAGGCAGGCAGGCTTGACAACCGGGTCAGGCAGGCTGACTGTTTGGTCTGACTGCAGAGATGGCAACCCTGGTCCTGTGTGGTTCGGCCCCGCTGCATCACAGACTTGATCAGAGACTGATGATTGTGAGAGATGATGAGTCAAGGCCGACCAAGACTTGATCAGAGACTGATGATTGTGAGAGATGATGAGTCAAGACCGACCGCCTAGAGTCGCAGCATTTTATATTCCTCTTTTATTGCTGTTTGTAGTATGAACTTCACTGTCTTTTGTAATTCACTTAGCGGCCCAGCTTCAACCCATGTCTCTCTTGGCCAGAATTTTTGCCTGGAAATGTCGTGCTTGGGACAGTCTTGGAGGATGTGATCTGTTGTCTCTGGTGCCTGTCGACATAGCTGATTCGCCAATCTTAAATTGTGTGTACATGTTGCTGTGAAGTGGATTGTGCCCTGTTCTAAGGCGTAGGGCATTTCTGAGTGGTAGTGATGATGATTATGTTGGGGGGGGGGGATGATCTGTTCTTGAAATATATCAAGAGTGTAGTGTGTTTTAATTGAGCCACGTTGACACACATCATTACTCTGTATTTCTTGCATTCACTGTTTTTGTTCCTTTCCTCCAGTTGTATACTTACAAATAAAACATGACACTAAAATGCTTTTTTTTTAAAGAAGTGTCCTTTTTTGTTCTTAGTTCTCAAGAGAAGTTTTGAGTCCCAAGGAACGCATCATACGTTCATAGGTTTCTACCTAGAAGCTTAATGAACGCATGATGCACTGATTTTTACTTCTCTTTTGACTACCCCTTGGGCCTGTGATGCTAAACCCTCTGGGACTCAAAGAGTTAAATGTTGCAGGCATGACTAAGGCATTTCAGTGCTGCCAAACAGGTCATCAGCAGTGCCACTCCTGACCACACCAAGCAGATCCTTATAAGCTGTGATTGTACTGCAAATTACCACATTTTCCCTCCTGTAGAAGATGTTTTCCCAAATTTTTTAAGTTTAAAATTGAGAGGTTATCTTAAAGCAGGCATCTAATACAGAGGTTCTCAAACTGGGTGCCATGGCAATAATCAATTTTTCAAAATCTGCTTGAGATCAGTGAAGACGGCAGTTGAAAACAGAAATACTATGGAGGAAGCTAAGAAGAGTTTTAAAAGCAGGTGTATTTAGAAGACTGCTATTGGCCATGCTAGCAATGCACTCTCAACTTACGCTTACATTAAAAAAAAAACAAAAAAACAGATAGGGGTAGGTGTGCCGTGAAAATGTGTTTTCCCGACAAGGGTGCAGTGGCGCACAAAGTTTTAGAACTGCTAGTCTAATACATTAAACAATACGGTGTGTGTCCCTGATTGATCCAGAAAAGGTCCTCGGCACGTGGCTGCGGCAGCATTTATTGCACTGGATGAATCATAATTTAGTTAGCACTCAGCTGCGTTAAATGTTCTTGCTAGAGTATGTGCCTGCATATTACTAAACACTCTCAGGCTCTAGTCTAATTCAACATCATCTTGATGAACAGGAAACAAATGTTGAATATGAAATGTTTATTGGTTCCAACAAGTTTAACAACTGTTCTCCCTCAGTGCACAAGAACTTCAGTGGTATTAAAGTTACTTCACAGGACGACCACATGCAGCCCTTCGTATAGACTTTAAGGTCTACCAAACTGCATTCACAACCACACACAGGGACAGCAGACGATATTCAACCATTGCAAGATGTCAGGCTAAACAAGATGGCATACAATCATCCAACACAAAGTTCACTTCATACAATCATTCACTTGTCAGCACTGTGTAATCCAAGCACATCACTAAAATACCTAACTACAATCACCCAACACTAAGTACACCCTAACAATCATTCACTTGTCAGCACTGTGTAATCCAAGCACATCACTAAAATACCTAACTACAATCATTCAACACTAAGTACACCCCCTGCAATCATTCACTTGTCAGCAGTGTTTAATCCAAGCATATCACTAAAATACCTCACTACAATCAACCAACATTAAGTACACCTCCTACAATCATTCACTTGTCAGCACTGTGTAATCCAAGCACATCAATAAAATACCTCACTACAATCAACCAACACTAAGTAAACCCCCTACAATCATTCACTTGTCAGCAGTGTGTAATCCAAGCACATCACTATAATACCTCACTACAATCAACCAACACCGAGTACACCCCCTGCAATCATTCACTTGTCAGCAGTGTTTAATCCAAGCATATCACTAAAATACCTCACTACAATCAACCAACATTAAGTACACCTCCTACAATCATTCACTTGTCAGCAGTGTGTAATCCAAGCACATCAATAAAATACCTCACTACAATCAACCAACACTAAGTACACCCCCTACAATCATTCACTTGTCAGCAGTGTGTAATCCAAGCACATCACTAAAATACCTAACTACAATCAACCAACACCGAGTACCCAACCCAACCTTGCAGTCATTCACATAAAAACAAACACTGGAGAAATGTTAAAATAGTTTATTTCAAATGCAGAAAAATTTTTTTTTATTACAAGTGGATGACCCGTTTGTTATCAGTGGATGGTAGTTTTTTAACGATTGCATGACAGGTCTGTTATCCGTGGATGGTAGATTTTTTATGATTGCATGACAGGTTTGTTACTAGTGGATCAATGATTTGTTATCAGTGGATGGCAGGTTTGTTATAATTGTATATGTCTGTTATCAGTGGATGGCATGTTTTTTTTACGATTGCATGACAGGTTTGTTATGATTGTATGACAGGTTTGTTATCAGTGGATGGCAGGTTTGTTACAAGTGGATGAAAAATTATGATTGGATGACTGATTCATTATCAGTGGATGGCAGGTTTGTATGATTGCATGACAGGTATGTTACAAGTGGATGACAGGTTTGTTATGATTGGATGACTGATTTGTTCCAAGTGGATGACTGATTTGTTATGACTGGATGACTGTTTCGTTATCAGTGGGTGGCTAGTTTATTATAATTGTATGATAGGTTTGTTACAAGTGGATGACGGATTTTTTATCACTGGATGACATGTTTATTATGATTGCATGACGAGTTTTTTTACAAGTGGATGACCAGTTCGTTACCCCTGAATGGCCAGTTTTTCACAACTGGATGCCTAGTGGCTTGGCACATTATATTTTATAGCTAGACTGTGTTATACGTTTCACTGCAACACATCCAATTTGAACAAACTTGTCATGGCCTTTTACAACATGCTTGCTAAGGGAGAGTGGGTCATGTCAGTCTATTGATTCCTCCCCCCCCCCCCCCCCCCCCCACCCACCTTGAGGGCAAAAATGGGGCCCAGGTACCCACACAGGAAAGTGACCTCACTAAATCAGAACTAATGGTTCAGTGGTTCAGCAGTTATTTATTTAAAAAACGGTAAGTGAAATGAAAATTACTGTGCAGGGTGTCCCATCAGTTTCCATACACAGGAAAAATAGACGTATCACCAACACCGTAACTCCAGCTGTGGTTATACGTGTTCTCCAGGAATGGAAAATCTTTAGTACAGGACAGCCTAACATACGATACCACATCTAGCATGAGAATGGAGGTGGAGGCGGTTAACTAGAGCTCTCCGGTGGCTAGAGAACAAGATGCATACACAAGTGATTGTAACAGTCTCTGGAAGCATGCTGAGAAAGAGTAAGACAGATAGGCTTTGAGCAGAGTGGCAAGCTTTATTGAAAATGTCACGGGTAGTGAGCATACTTTGGATCTTTTCTCCAGGCTATGCCGGAGTGCTGGGTAATGAACAGTCATACAGATTGGCTGGATCTGCATCACTGGGTGGTAAATTGATAATTACAAGGCAGATGTGGTCAAGGCCCCTTGGGAACAAGCAACGTAATCAGTAGAGAAAGAAGATCATTATAGCCTGGAGAGAATGAGGCATCTGGTTGTAAACAGAGGGTCTAGCCGGTTCACTACACTCAGAGGAAAGGCAAGACGGACATATAACCAGATTGTGACCAGTACCATTAGTAATGGAACTCTGTGCTGGCTGCTGAAGATGAGGACAGAGCATGCATGGGAATGCCAGAGTGCTGTGATGTCAATTCTTGACTCAACTCAACTCAGGAGTGAAAGACACATACAGAAATGTGTTTTTAAAACGATAGTCACGTAGTTGATATGTAAATAAAAATCATTATCATTAAAAGAATGGAAATGTATGGTTAATAAAAGTTGGTTGCATATTCTTATACAAGGCGTTGCAGAACCAACCGCAGCATATTATGTCCATTGTGGTTTTTCTAGGCAAATTTTACATTCAGTAGTTTGCCACTGCCACCGAACATTCAGCTTTCTTTCACTGTCGAAACCAACGTGAGACATTCTGTCACCAAATCGCCCACAGCTGGGATCAAACCAGACACACTGGCATTACAAAGCATGTCTGCAACGCTTAAGCCACAGACGCTGACAAACTTATGGTCCACATCACATTGCTGCCTTTATTATTTATATTTTGCAGGGGGGGGGGGGGAAGGGGGGGGAGTCTTTGAGCCTGAGGATTTACGGTGGCATGGCTAGTGCTGTCACCACAACTGTGCTGGTGAGGATTTTATGTTGCCTCCCAACAGAAAAAAATCCCCAAGAAAAAAATCCCCAGCCTTACCGAGGATTCCAACCCGTGTCTCCCGTTTGAGAGCCTAGTGTTCTAACTGTTGGGCCAGCTGCTTCTCAAACTTAAGGTACACCATGTATGTTGAGATTAAAAAAAAAAAAAAAGGTCAAAACAGAGCCATCAAATTTGTGAACACCTGGATAAAACAATGTACAACTTATCACAATACAAAGATATCCTCTATAAATAAATGAAAATACAAAACAAAACATGAACAGACATGACTCTTTCCACGCCATAAGGCATACACGGTACATGGTATTCCAATTAGGAAAAAAAAAAATGTAAATACAGAGTTCTCAGCAGTTCTACACTTTTCCACCTCCACAGTGATGTGTTATTTCAGCCATATGGGAAGAGAGAAAATGTAACATGTTGTGACCACTGGAAAGATCTGTGGAATGAGGGATAGAGGAAGACGAGAGAAGATTCTTGACAGTCTTGTTGCATGCCATGGAGTTGTGTCAGCACACAAACTTAATACATGCTGCAGGAGATCGCAGATTGTGGTGAGGCATAATCACCCAGGCCAGTCGATAAGGCACCTGACGATAATACACTATTCATATTTGTATTCGGCCGAATAGTTGGTACAGCCCTAGTAGTAACCCATAAGTGCTTCGTTCTTCCTACAACTCAAGTCTGAGCCCGAAGAAGCTCAGTACAGTGCACAGGCTCTGTAGCATCGGCGAGGATCTTGAAATACTTTGGGTAGATTTTTAACTCAAAATTTTTGCCTGGGCAGCGCCGTTAGGCTACTCTTTTCTATTTCCAACTGCCAAGGGATTTTCTACGTGCGCAACAATGCACACGGGCGTTTGATCTTACAACCAAGAGACCAGGGGGAATTACTAGAAGGCCGAGTCCATGTGAAAAAATCCCAGTCCTTACTGGGGATTGAACCAGGAACCTTTAGTTCTCGAGGCAGACACCATGATTCGAGACCATGCAGCCCTCCCCCTTCAATGAAATCAGTATATGACATCTCATTTATTTAGGGTCATTGAGATTGATTGCCGGGATTGAAAATGTAGTATAAGGCAGGAGATTGAATACCACTTGGACATCACCAGCATTACAAATGGCGCCCATATTGAAGCGTAATAAGCTAAGCCTAAAACTTCCAACTTTTCTGCACATTCTAAGACGCCACATGTGTATATCCTTTAAATAATTCTGTTTTCCTAACAGTTTCAAATCCCGGCATTCATTTTTCATGACCCTGTATTTACAATGACAAAATATCATGGGAGCCAGCAAACAGATCAATAAAATACATGGATGAAGCAGCTGAGACGGATCTGTTGTACCACAACAAAAAAGTGCACGGGCGTTCACAGCACGCTCAAAACAATCAAAGAAGCCAGAGGTGTCTTTTCCGTGATGACAAGCAGCATGATGATGTAGGTGATGGCAGTAACGCAAGCATTCATATGGCTAAGAAAAAAAAAAACAGCCAAACAATGCTGGGGCTGGTTCTGCAACTTCCTGAAAGGACATACAACTAACATGTGGTGGTATGAGGCAATACCCGTGACCTCTCCCCAAGCTTTATCAATCACCCTTCAATGACACTAGAACATTAGCTGCTAAACAAATCATAGTGGTATCAGACAATACCCTAACCTCCCCACCCAAACTGTATCAATCACCCTTCAATGACACTAGAACATTAGCTGCTAAACAAATCATAGTGGTATCAGACAATACCCTAACCTCCCCACCCAAACTTTATCAATCACCCTTCAATGACACTAGAACACTTCCCGCTATACAAATCATGGTGGTATGAGACAAAACCCTAACCTCCCCACCCAAACTGTATCAATCACCCTTCAATGATGCTAAAACACTTCCTGCTATACAAATCATGGTGGTATGAGACAAAACCCTGACCTTCCCACCCAAACTTTATCAATCACCCTTCAATGATGCTAAAACACTCCCTGCTATACAAATCATGGTGGTATGAGACAAAACCCTAACCTCCCCACCCAAACTTTATCAATCACCCTTCAATGACACTAGAACACTTCCCGCTATACAAATCATGGTGGTATGAGACAAAACCCTAACCTCCCCACCCAAACTGTATCAATCACCCTTCAATGATGCTAAAACACTTCCTGCTATACAAATCATGGTGGTATGAGACAAAACCCTGACCTTCCCACCCAAACTTTATCAATCACCCTTCAATGATGCTAAAACACTCCCTGCTATACAAATCATGGTGGTATGAGACAAAACCCTAACCTTCCCACCCAAACTTTATAAATCACCCTTCAATGATGCTAAAACACTCCCTGCTATACAAATCATGGTGGTATGAGACAAAACCCTAACCTCCCCACCCAAACTTTATAAATCACCCTTCAATGATGCTAAAACACTTCCCGCTATACAAATCATGGTGGTATGAGACAAAACCCTAACCTCCCCACCCAAACTTTATCAATCACCCTTCAATGATGCTAAAACACTTCCCGCTATACAAATCATGGTGGTATGAGACAATACCCTGACCTTCCCACCCAAACTTTATCAATCACCCTTCAATGATGCTAAAACACTCCCTGCTATACACATCGTGGTGGTATGAGGTTCTCGCCCTGACCTCTCTGCTGCCCAGTCTTATCCAAATAATCTTTCAGCAACAGGATCCTGTCTGTCATGACCCCTGCAGCTCCAAGTTTGAAGGCTCTTTCAAAATCTTCTTCTCTGTTCAGCACCCAAAGGTAAGTCTGTGGACACAGTTATAAAATGTTGAACAATTACAATTCTTGGGGAGGTTATACTGTGAGGTGATCAAGCCATTTACAGACGCTCCGGCTGGCAGTGACACTTTCAGGAATGGTCCCTCTATGGACAGGAGAGACATCATCAATGCGATAAGAGAGACTAAACACTGTGAGGCTTTCAGTTTTGTGGAAAATGATTTTTCACTGAATAAACTGCATATCCTGGGTGCACCCATTGGAGCCACGAGACAGGAAAACCATGCGGAAGCCACCCGTGGTTACACCAACCAGAACAGAATGGGCATTGCTAGCTTGAAAACTCTTGGAGACAAACACAAGAGGAGAACAGAGCACTTATGTTCATAAGCGATGAAGATGATCTCTAAAATTAACAGCGAACAAGCCATTTGCCTTGCAGCCGGGGTTCGTTTCATAGACAAGTCAATTAGGTCACAACTACAAGGCTTATACACTTATCTCATGAGCACTCATAACAGAATTCATGTTCACCTGTCGTTAAATGCTGCATGAGTAACAACACAACTTTCCCTAGCTAAACAAATTACAAGTGAATTATCACCTGCTAACTGGATGGTGTTACAATGTGGCCAGAGAAGGATGAGTGGTACCTGTTTTAATAATAGGCTTTGCTTCATGGATGAAAGTTTTGTTGCTGGCCAAAATAAAAGTCCCATTATTTAAATTTAAAAAAAAAAATGCACACACATATATACCTAATATGCACACGTACACAAAGACACACACAATGTGCACATACAAACACAATATGCATATGCATACAAAGACACACACACACACAACTTTATATACCCACACATCTTTACTTTGATACAAAAATTTTAAAACATTATATTCAGTATTCCCCAACCCTAGTATTGAAGCACCCAGCAATAGCAACGGAAACTAAAAGGCAAATCTTAAATGCAATCTTTTTACCAACATTGTGTAACCAATGCCAAACTTGGGCATTAAGGAAAGAACAAGAGCGGACACTAACGACATGTAAAATGAGATGTTTGAGAACAGCATTAACCATAACAAAACAAGACCATAAAAAAATGAAGATATCATTAGAATAGTAGGAAGAACGCCTTTAATTCAACTTATCAAAAAACAAAGACTGAAGTGATTTGACCACCTGGTCAGAATGGAACCCAGTGCCACCAGTTGCAAGAGCATACAACATGTGAATCGAAACATTAAGAAGCAGAGGAAGTCCAAGAAGATAATGGATAGATAGAGTTAACCACTAGCTGAAACTCAACAGTATCACCATGCAGCAAGCTAACAAGTCTACCCTATCCCGGAAACCAATCATTAGCTGTGACTGCTACACCTAACAGCATTAAGCAGAAAAAGACAATAATAGATACATGTTCAGTGGTCACGGACTTTCTGTTTTAATTGTCATGCTCACCTGTATGCCGCGCTTATCCAGGTGTTTAATCAGAGCCGGTCGCATCAACAATCTGTACAAACACAAATCAAGAAACAAGTAATATTTTGTATTGTATATATTATATTTTGCAGATTTTATTCATACCAGGCGTTTTCTCATTCACCACTAATTTCAAGACAAACAAGGTATTCTATTTGTTTCACAAATTTTAGTGCTAACAAATATTATATCCAGTACCACAAATGTTAATGCAAAACGGTGTTCTATCTGTCACCACTAATGTTAAAGCACAACAGTGTTGTCTTTCACCATTAATGTTAATGCAAAACAGTGTTTTATCTTTCACCAATAATGTTAATGCCACAAGGTGTTCTGTCTTTCACCATTAATGTTAATGCCACAAGGTGTTCTGTCTTTCACCATTAATGTTAATGCCACAATGTGTTCTGTCTTTCACCATTAATGTTAATGCCACAAGGTGTTCTGTCTTTCACCATTAATGTTAATGCCACAAGGTGTTCTGTCTTTCACCATTAATGTTAATGCCACAAGGCATTCTGTCTTTCACCATTAATGTTAATGCCACAAGGTGTTCTGTCTTTCACCATTAATGTTAATGCCACAAGGTGTTCTGTCTTTCACCATTAATGTTAATGCCACAAGGTGTTCTGTCTTTGACCATTAATGTTAATGCCACAAGGTGTTCTGTCTTTCACCATTAATGTTAATGCCACAAGGTGTTCTGTCTTTGACCATTAATGTTAATGCCACAAGGTGTTCTGTCTTTGACCATTAATGTTAATGCCACAATGTGTTCTGTCTTTCACCATTAATGTTAATGCCACAATGTGTTCTGTCTTTCACCATTAATGTTAATGCCACAAGGTGTTCTGTCTTTCACCATTAATGTTAATGCCACAAGGTGTTCTGTCTTTGACCATTAATGTTAATGCCACAAGGTGTTCTGTCTTTGACCATTAATGTTAATGCCACAAGGTGTTCTGTCTTTGACCATTAATGTTAATGCCACAAGGTGTTCTGTCTTTCACCACTGATGTTAATGCCACAAGGTGTTCTGTCTTTCACCACTGATGTTATTGCCACAAGGTGTTCTGTCTTTCACCACTTATATTAATGTCACAATGTGTTCTATCTTTCACCACTAATGTTAATGCCACAAGGTGTTCTATCTTTCAACACTAATTTTAATGCTACAACGTGTTCCATCTTTCACCACTAATGTCAACTGGGAGTTGAGTTGAGTCAAGAATTGACATCACAGCACTTCTGGCATTTCCATGCATGCTCGGTCCCCATCTTCAGCAGCCAGTGTTAACTGGGAATTACAAGCATTCTTCAGTCAAACAACCTCTCAGAGGCCTCAAGAAATTGTTTGGCTTGTTTACTAACTGTCCAGGATTCACAGCCATCTGTTAAAACTGGTTCTATATCAGCATCATCAAGTGCCTTGCTAGCTGGCACAGACTTTCATGCATCTCCACAGATCTTAGTGTTCTGGATCAATTCCACTGATGATACTCCTTCATACCACTGTCTTCAGCCAATCACCACAAATTTTCTTGGTCTGCTTCTTCTACCAGTGATCTTTCCAGTTGTCACAATATTTTCCAGTGCTCCTTTTCTCATCATATGACAGAAAATATTTGTTTGGCTCCACATAACATGCAATAATTCTATTTCTTCTTCTTCTTTCGTTCGCTTTTAGACTATCTGTATCTGCAATGTTGTCTCTAGTATGAATTTCACTGTCTGTTGTAATTCAATCAGTGACCCTTAAAGTTTGGCATGAACCAGTGTTTCTCTTGGCCAAAAGTTTGGCATGAACCAGTGTTTCTCTTGGCCAAAAGTTTGGCATGAACCAGTGTTTCTCTTGGCCAAAAGTTTGACATGAACCAGTGTTTCTCTTGGCCAAAAGTTTGGCATGAACCAGTGTTTCTCTTGGCCAAAAGTTTGGCATGAACGAGTGTTTCTCTTGGCCAAAAGTTTGGCATGAACCAGTGTTTCTCTTGGCCAAAACTTTTGCCTTGACATGTTGTATTATATGTCGTATTTGGGGCAGTCTTGGAGGACATGATCTGTTGTCTCAGGTGCTAATCCACATGTGCAAGTGGGTGATTCACCGATCTTAAATTTTGTGTATGTGGCTGCGAATTCGATTGTGTCCTGTTCCAAGGTGAAGAATAATGACCTGCTATGGTCTAATCTGCCACGACAGAGATTTACCACATAAAATGTAACAAAACAAAAGTGTTGTGTCGATTTAAGAATTGCCATCACAGCATTTGGGATATTCCCACAAGTGCTACATCCTCACCTTCTGCAGCCAACTTCAAAGGTGCCAGTAGTAATCTGATTATATGTTCCTCTTGCCTTTTCTCTGAGTGCAGAGTGTCGACTAGATCTCCTGGTCACTCTCAGCTGAACTAGTCTCTCCAGGTCATAACGATCTATTCGTGCCTCTCTGCTCATAAAGGGCCCAGACTACATCTAGCTTCTCATGCATCAAGTCACCACCCAGTGGTGCAGAACCATCTTTTTTCTCATGCATCAAGTCACCACCCAGTGGTGCAGAACCAGCTTTCTTCTCATGCATCAAGCCATCACCCAGTGGTGCAGAACCAGCTTTTTTCTCATGCATCAAGTCACCACCCAGTGGTGCAGAACCAGCTTTCTTCTCATGCATCAAGCCACCACCCAGTGGTGCAGAACCAGCTTTTTTCTCATGCATCAAGTCACCACCCAGTGGTGCAGAACCAGCTTTCTTCTCATGCATCAAGTCACCATCCAGTGTTGCAGAACCAGCTTTCTTCTCATGCATCAAGTCACCATCCAGTGTTGCAGAACCAGCTTTTTTCTCATGCATCAAGTCACCACTCAGTGGTGCACAACCAGCTCATCTGTCCGAGTGCATTTCTCAAAACACCAGCGTCTCCGGAGAAAATATGCAAGGATTGCGAAAACACCATTATTAACAAACACAATTACATAAACGAGATAGCAATGACACTATCAACAATATCTATCATAAAAAAATAATAACAACAAAACAATATACATACAAATCTGAACAAAGAAGACACAAACAATAAACTGCACAATTTACTAAATAAATGAATCCTTTAAACTGAAACAAAAAATCCATTACATTTACAAACTGTTTGTTTCACCAGGGTAACAGCAGGACAAAATGCATGTCTGGTTTAAACCAGCTGAAAGCTGACGCTTCAGCGAATCTAAGTAATCTATAGTTTGCCGAACTCATTACTTAGATTCGCAGAAGTGTCAGCTTTCAGCTGGTTTAAACCAGAATTATGCAGACAAAAGGACATGCTCTTCACCTTGCTTTTATCTTGGTGAAACAGACAATTTTCAAATGTATTCCATTTTGTGTTTTGGTTGGAAGATTCATTTTTTTGCTTCATGTTAATCAATCGTTACTGTAGTATGCACCTGACGAGAAACAGTGAAATATGCCAGGAAATAAATTATGCAATCTATTGTCTGTCTTCTTTGTTCAAACTAACAACTGGAAAACATTGCTTTGATAAATAATAATTACAACAAGCATCAAACAAAAACAGCAACTATGAACAAACAGAACCACTCACTTGTCCAAAAGCCAAAAAATGAATCGAGCCTTTGAGCTGACGGGTACCTCAAACATGCCTTCTCTGTGAATGTAAACAAGGAAAGCAGCATCAGTCACGTGAAATGTCAGCAATCTGTTTCTAATGGTAAAAGGTGCAACAGCTGTAAGATCCCATCATAATACAGACATCAGACAGTACAACTACCTGACTCAAGAAGACAGTACAACTAGCTGACTCAAGAAGACAGTACAACTAGCTACCTCATAAAGACAGTAAAACTAGCTAACTCACAAAGACAGTACAACTAGAGTAAAACTAGCTAACTCACAATAACAGTAAAACTAGCTAACTCACTAAGACAGTAAAACTAACTAACTCACAAAGACAGTACAACTAGCTGACTCATGAAGACAGTACAACTAGCTGACTTATGAAGAAAGTACAACTAGCTGACTCACGAAGACAGTACAACTAGCTACTCACGAAGACAGTACAACTAGCTGATTTACAAAGACAGTATAAGTAGCTGACTCACGAAGACAGTACAACTAGCTGACTCATGAAGACACTACAACTAGCTGACTCACGAAGACAGTACAACTAGCTGACTCACGAACACAGTTCAACTAGCTGACTCATGAAGACAGTACAACTAGCAGACTCACGAAGACAGTACAACTAGCTACTCACGAAGACAGTACAACTAGCTGACTCACAAAGACAGTATAAGTAGCTGACTCACAAAGACAGTACAACTAGCTGACTCATGAAGACAGTTCAACTAGCTGACTCACAAAGACAGTAAAGATAGCTGACTCATGAAGACAGTACAACTAGCTGACTTACAAAGACAGTACAACTAGCCGACTCACAAAGACAGTACAACTAGCTAACTCACAAAGACAGTACAACTAGCTGACTCATGAAGACAGTAAAACTAGCTGAATCACAAAGACAGTACAACTAGCTAACTCACAAAGACAGTACAACTAGCTGACTCACGAACACATTTCAACTAGCTGACTCATGAAGATAGTACAACTAGCAGACTCACGAAGACAGTACAACTAGCTACTCACGAAGACAGTACAACTAGCTGACTCACAAAGACAGTATAAGTAGCTGACTCACGAAGACAGTACAACTAGCTGACTGTCGTGGAATAAGCCATTACACATCAGTCCGAAAGACTGGTAACTTGACCTACCTGTAATCGGCACAAAATTCAAACTTGGACTCGTCCGGGAAGGATATAGTCCCTTATATCGATATATATATGCCTTTATTGGACAAAATTATTATGTCTACATTTTCTAGTTGCTTTGACTTAACTCCACTTTTAAATGTACATCTATTGGATAAATATTAGAGGAGTTATTTGAGGTTTCTTAGAAACCGATTTACTCCTTGCTCATGTATACTAGGAACTCCTTTTTACCAACGCCTGAAGTGCGTATTTTGCGCCATTCTTTTTGCCGGCTTCCAAGCGTTCAGACGTGTCAATCGACGCCTGTATAATTCATTTGTAAAAGGCGATCTGTAATGTCTAGGACTTTTCCTATGCTTGGGTAAGTTAATTATAGTTTACGAGTACCTAAAATGATGTCTGTTAAAGTGGTCACTGCTGTAGAGAGATCAGTGTCGGCTGTGGGATCACACATAGTTCGACCGTTCTTTATCGCTAGGGAAGCGGATTCGAACTTAGACCCGCCACTGTACAGACTAAATGGCCTATGCCCTGAATAACCCACCCATACTGGTAAAACTAATAACCTTACAAGTGTGTACTATTTAAACTAACAACAGAAGTTTGTGCATACGAATGGGGACAGAATTAGGTCAGGACTTGGTCAGCCAGTGTGTGAGTGTGTTTGACCCAGATCAATGAATGGTGGGACTGGCTTGGGAGTTGTAAGGAATAGAAGTACTGACAGTAAATATTGGTGTCTGTGTGCAGAGGGGAGGGGGGGGGGGGAGAGATTGATATATGTGTTAGAGTGTCTATCTATCTCCACTATATATCTGACTTTCCATCTCTTGCACTAAACAGACAGATGAATGATAGGAGACTAGTGTCTCCTGGTCTTGAGAGGCATTCTGAGGAATGAAACAGGGGAGCAAAGGTGGAGTAAGCAGATGTGGGATGATGACTATTGCTTGTTCTGTCTTTCCTGTCAAGATGTTACCCTCTTGGTGATGACTAATTCTGAGTTATTTCTTGGCAGGATGAACCCTTTGTGAAGAGCTGGCAGAAGATTCACAGTCCAACCAACACCCACCAACCATAACCCATCAATCAATTAACCCATTACCTACCACTTATCACCCAACTACCAAGTGTGGAGATTGATGTCAGTTTGAGGTGCCATATACCCCAAACTTCCTACAGTGCCAGAACATGTGTGTAGCTCATGGACAGTGCTGCTAATGACTAGTGGGAGCCATTTGCTGTGTGCTTATCCAGTTGCTGTGTCCTTTATGGTGAGGTACTCCTCCACCAGCTGATCCAGTTGAGGCAGAGTCACCAAAGACAGTCGAATCATCAGGAGCTGAGGGAAGCATCATAGACGGAAAGAGGATAAGTTCAGTTTGATGCCTTATTTGCAATATTCCTCACAGCTCCCATGTTTCCCGAGGATGAAGTTGTGTCATCTCTAGATCATTCTGGCTGTTTAAGAGTCCTTGCAATCTGGACATTGTATTCTGGAATCCAGTAATTGTGATCTGGCATCTACTTCACTATTTTCTATTTGTACATTTCTATTTGTACATGCATTCATTTTCATGGCTGACTTAGGTTTCTCTATTTCACCTTTTTAAGTGTTTAGCATTTGTGTGTGTATGAATCTTAACTATATGTGTTAACATGGTTATGATAATGATTTATCATAACCTGGGGGCTTTCTTTAGTAAGTAGTGGGGGTGTCCAGCCAAGTGTGCCTAGGAATATTGTATTCATATACTGATATATTTTGTAGTGCCAATACTTGAGTTGCCCTACTCCAGAAATAAGTTGAGCGTATATTGGCCACGGGGAATCCCTTAGACCAATACGAGCCAAACGACTCAACATAATTATTTCTGAGTGCTGCTGGTTCTGAAGGAGAAATCCTTACATCAGGCACGCGACAGGAGTGATATGTGACATTGACTCATGAAGACAGTACAACTAGCTGACTCACAAAGACAGTAAAGATAGCTGACTCATGAAGACAGTACAACTAGCTGACTAACAAAGACAGTAAAACTAGCTGAATCACAAAGACAGTACAACTAGCTAACTCACAAAGACAGTACAACTAGCTAACTCATAAAGACAGTACAACTAGCTGACTCATGAAGACAGTACAACTAGCTGACTCATGAAGACAGTACAACTAGCTGACTCACAAAGACAGTACAACTAGCTGACTCACAAAGACAGTACAACTAACTGACTCACAAAGATAGTACAAAGAGCTGACTCATGAAGACAGTGCAACTAGCTGATTCACAAAAACAGTACAGATAGATGACTCACGAAGACATTACAACTAGCTGACTCACGAAGACAGTAAGATGCCCGGCATGATGATTTCCAGCAGGGATTCCTTGATGCTGATGAAGGGAAGCAGACCTGTCCAGAAGAGCAGCATCAGGTGGATCACTCTACGCATGGAGAAGAACAAGGGCACCCGGGGATTCTGAAACACAAGGGGCAGAGTTTTTGTGAGTGTTGTTGTTCAGTCGCTGGGTAACTGAGTAGAATGTTGGACTCCCATACAGGACACCGGGGTTCGATCTTCGGTAAGGGATGGAGACTTGTTTTTCTGCGGGAGGAGGGGCAAAATAAAAACCCCAACCTGCATAGTTTGTGGCTACATCCATCTTAACAGCATTATGGGTCCCTGGGCAAACCAGTGTGCTGTGGCCCCTTGTGATGACCACTCACAGGAATGACATGTGAATGGTTGATAATATTAAACATATTTCCTGGATTAGCAAGGGGCCCCTGGCATGTGCTTAGTGGATCGATGCTTCAAGATGACCCTGTTGGTGGTGACTGCAGTATGTTTTTTTCTTGTACTGCTTAGCATTCACTAGCTGTAAGCTCTGGTAGAAAGTTATTGTTGTTTGTCCCCTTCTGGGCTTTGGTTTTGTTTCGGAACTAGAGTTTTTCGTGCACAAGTGTTTTATAGATCTGGCTTATTTGTATGCAGCCTATTGGTTTCCCACCTCTCAGGCAGATGCACTCCCCCTTCAAACAAAACACCCCCTAATTAGACACCTCCTATGACATGTTTGTTAGTGAACAGTCGGTCTGATTTCTCCGCCACCCCCCTAAAGGGGTCCTGTCTGGAACCAACATGAAGAAACACATATCTTTAAAAGTGAGAAGACCAACTCACAAGTCTATACAGCTTCTGACACACAACATCGGATCGGCTTCCCCAAGCTGTGATCTCCTCTCTGTTGTACTGTTTCACTAGGTCGTTCACCTGAAACATCACATACCACAAGGTCTTCAAGCACAACTTCACACACTACATTCCTTCCAAAAAAAACCATTAAATCATCGCCACAAAAACATCCTGATAACATGACATAATCATCAAAAATTCAGCATGATATCATCACAAAATCATCCTGACATCAACATAACCTCATCATGTCATCATAAAATTATTATCATGAAATCATTATAACATCATCCTGATATCATAATGTCATTATAAAATCTGCACTATATAACATCATAAAATACACACAACATCATCATTACTTCATCATGATATCAGCATGCAATCATCATAATATAAATAATTATCATAATAATATCCTAACATCATCATGACATTATCACAACCTCATGCTGACATTATCATCATGACATCATAAAACAAGCAATGCTGCACTGTCCTGTCAAGCTTGTGGTTCAGTACATTTCATTTGAACAAACATGTTAAGCACATTTGCTTTCTCCAGCCTACAATTGCTCCCAGTCTACATACAAGTAGACAGGGCTGTATCTCTCTAACCTTTGAGCTGCCAGGCATGGCCGAACCCTGCCAGCAGCCAAGATAGCATTGGTATAGCCCTTGTGAAGGAAGGCGGAAAGGGAGCGGGGGGGTCATTGGAACTCACAATCCTCTCTACCGAAACAGAGTGGTGGGATATTGTCTCCTCTGTGTACTGGTTGGTTGCTAGGCGTTTTTCCTATCTAAAATATGGGTGATATTCTGAATGCACACAGTTGGTAATGAGTAGACGAGATTCCCATTGATATTATTTATTCAGCTTTCACAGGTAATCTGGCCTACTACTGGCTAGAGGGTCCAACAAGAGATGATGACATTTATCAAGTAAAGCATACTACCATCCACACTCTTTACCTTCCAGTCCTGTTTCATTACACAAGCGATACACACAATGGTTGATCCAGAATCTCTGATCATGGCAGTTAGATTCCTTGGCTGGTTGGATCTCATCAGCTAACACTTCTGGTTAGGCTGTCATCAGGTTGTCATCTGGCGGTCCTCTCATGGAATAAAATCTCCTTCTCATCTTCAATTACACAATGTCACATTCACCCTCTACCAAATACAACCTTTCACGATAGCTGCCAAACACATACTAACTGGTTAGCTCTTGGTCTAATCTTATAACCCTCGTTCTGGGTTTCACGTGCTGGCTTGAGCACCGTTCTTATATCTCGTGTTTCTACAAGTATTCACATTCTCATGTATTTCTCTCTTATCTCATGTTTACTCCTATGTCATCATTTAGGGGATCCCTGTGGGGAAAATACCAACATTACAGGTGGAGACAGACTAGAGAGGTGTCGTTACCTAACTTTAGAAACAGCAATTTCATGTAACATAACCAGGAGGAGAAGAAAAAAGTAGAAGAAAAAAAAAGAAAAAAAAAGAGAAGAAGAAGAAAAGAAGGCAAAAGAAGAAGATAAAGAAGAAGAAAAGAATATTATGATGATGAAGAAGATGAAGAAAAAGAAGAAGAAGATGATAAAGAAGAAGGAAAAAAAGAAGAAGAAGAAGAAAAACAAGAAGAAGAAGAAGAAGAAAAAAAAAGATGATGAAGAAGAAGAAGAAGATGATGATGATAAAGAAGAAAAAAAAAAAGAAGATGAAGAAGAAGAAGAAGAGCTAACCTCACCTGCTGTATGAGCAGATCATCATCAACTTTGATGTCAATGTTAATAGGCATGTGAGGAAACTCATCAAAGACTTCCTTCAGCAACGGTATCCTTCTGTCCTCTCCTCTGCCTCTCAGTGCTGCGGGATGGACAAACACACCAGTGATCTCCAAATGACAAACACACCAGTGATCTCCAAATGACAATTCCACCAGTGATCTCCAAATGACAAACACACCAGTGATCTCCAAATGACAAACACACCGGGATCTCCAAATGACAAACAAATCAGAAACCTCATAAGGACCACATGTGCAAAAGAGAGGACACACTCATGTTCAGAACCGACAGCCTCTCTCACACAGTTAGTGACACTAAACCACAACTACTGGCAACACAACAGAAGATCTGAAGAAAATGGTTGGAGTCACTGAGAAAATCTTGACTAAATTAAATTATTTCCATTTTTGTGCTAGGATACTCTGGAGTAAGAGGGAATGAATGAGCAGATTGGCTTGCTGGCAGGGCTATGGTAGGTTACAGGAAAAAACAATGCACTAGGCAGACATTCTCAAAGCTTTCAAGGAGGCAGGAGGAGAAGATGTTTCAGGAGATGACTCTGAATCATCAACACTCAAAAGACTACAAAAACATCAGGTCAAAAGAGGTGTCACCAAACATGATCACTATATCGGTAGCCAAAGAAGAATAGTACACCAACACAGAACTAGTGTTATCAGTCACCGCACACTGAAGATGAGATCCGAGCACTAATGGACTTGCCCAATGTGCAGTGAGGACAATCTATCAGTTAACTAACTAACTAACTAGCCACTGGCTAAACAACACATTTAAGCCAGGGCTATTCAACAAAAGGGCCCCAATAATGATCATCAGGGGTCAGGGGCCTGAACCCCAGCATAGAAAGCAAGGTCAATGACTTGACCACTTTGCCATGGAAACCCCCCCCCCCCCCCCCCTGAATAACTGTGATGAGGAAAAGAACCAGCTACTTACTCTGGTAAAAATCCACCTTGATGCCATCCTGCAGCTTTGGAAGATCCTGAAAAAAGCAGAGAGGATGAGCTCAGAAATCTGCAGGCAAAGCAAGAGATGAGCATATGATTGTGTACTATGTCAATCATGTTCAAAGTAAATTAGATTACTAACTGAGCATACAGTTGTGTACTATGTCAATCATGTTCAAAATAAATTAGATCACTAACTGAGCATTCAATTGTGTACTATGTCAATCATGTTCAAAATAAATTAGATCACTAACTGAGCATACAATTGTGTACTATGTCAATCATGTTCAAAGTAAATTAGATTACTAACTGGGCATACAATTGTGTACTATGTCAATCATGTTCAAAGTAAATTAGATTACTAACTGGGCATACAATTGTGTACTATGTCAATCATGTTCAAAGTAAATTAGATTACTAACTGGGCATACAATTGTGTACTATGTCAATCATGTTCACAGTAAATTAGATTACTAACTGGGCATACAATTGTGTACTATGTCAATCATGTTCAAAGTAAATTAGATTACTAACTGGGCATACAATTGTGTACTATGTCAATCATGTTCAAAGTAAATTAGATTACTAACTGAGCATACAATTGTGTACTATGTCAATCATGTTCAAAGTAAATTAGATTACTAACTGGGCATACAATTGTGTACTATGTCAATCATGTTCACAGTAAATTAGATTACTAACTGGGCATACAATTGTGTACTATGTCAATCATGTTCAAAGTAAATTAGATTACTAACTGGGCATACAATTGTGTACTATGTCAATCATGTTCAAAGTAAATTAGATTACTAACTGAGCATACAATTGTGTACTATGTCAATCATGTTCAAAGTAAATTAGATTACTAACTGGGCATACAATTGTGTACTATGTCAATCATGTTCAAAGTAAATTAGATTACTAACTGAGCATACAATTGTGTACTATGTCAATCATGTTCACAGTAAATTAGATTACTAACTGGGCATACAATTGTGTACTATGTCAATCATGTTCAAAGTAAATTAGATTACTAACTGAGCATACAATTGTGTACTATGTCGATCATGTTCAAAGTAAATTAGATTACTAACTGGGCATACAATTGTGTACTATGTCAATCATGTTCAAAATAAATTAATTACTAACTGAGCATACAATTGTGTACTATGTCAATCATGTTCAAAGTAAATTAGATTACTAACTGAGCATATAATTGTGTACTATGTCAATCATGTTCAAAGTAAATTAGATTACTAACTGAGCATACAATTGTGTACTATGTCAATCATGTTCAAAGTAAATTAGATTACTAACTGGGCATACAATTGTGTACTATGTCAATCATGTTCACAGTAAATTAGATTACTAACTGAGCATACAATTGTGTACTATGTCAATCATGTTCACAGTAAATTAGATTACTAACTGAGCATACAATTGTGTACTATGTCAATCATGTTCAAAATAAATTAGATTACTAACTGAGCATACAATTGTGTACTATGTCAATCATGTTCAAAGTAAATTAAATTACTAAAGCATCTGTAAAGTTAACACTTGCCAAAAACACAGAGAAAAGTGAAATGGAAAATGGGCTGGACAAATACGGGCAGAACAGGGGAAGAGGAGAGCAATGGATTAGACTAGATTCATTAATTTAGGGCTTACGATACAGGAAAGAAAAAAGAAGAAGACGAAGAAGAAAAAGAAGAAGAGGAAGTGGCAGCAGCAGAATAAAATTAAGAACAAGCAGTAGAAAAAAGAGGAGGAGAAGAATGAAAGAATGAATGAATCAAGGATTGACATCACTGCACTCAGGACATTCCCACACGTGCTCCGTCTCCTTTTTCAGTAACCAACAGAGAGGTAACAAGCAGGAGATGAAGAAGAAGGATAAAAAGAAGTGGAAGCAGCAGAAAAAAAAAAATGACAAGAAAAGAAAAGAAGAAGCAGAAAAGTAGAAAAAGGAGCAAACAAGAAAAGAAGCAGAGGATGAGAAAAGAAGAAGCAGTAGAAATACAAATAGGAGAAGTAGAAGTGGCCGCAGCAGCAGAAAAAGAAGAAGGAAAAAAGCAGAAGTAGAACACACAAGCCCACAAAAAAAGAGACTAAGAAGCAGAAAAAGAAGAAGCGCAGCAGATGAAGCAGAAGAAGAAGTGAATAAGATCAGAATGAACACGACAATTATCTGTTGTCCTCACTTTGTATAGAGTCTGAGATATCTGAACCTGGGAGCCGCAGGTACGCCTCAGGTGGTCATCGTGAGACACCACCACCTGCAGATCTTTGGTCAGGTGACAATCCAGCTCAAACATGTCCGTGCCCACTTTCTCTGCACTGGAGGAAGAAAGCAATATGTGCTAAGAAAGGAAGCTGTTTGCACTGAAGAAAGAAAGCAGTTTGCATTGAAGAAAAGAAGCAATTTGCACTGAAAGATGAAGCAGTTTTCACAGAAGAAATCAAACAATCTGTGCTGATGAAAGGAAGCAATTTGCACTGAAAGATGAAGCAGTTTTCACAGAAGAAGTCTAACAATCTGTGCTGATGAAAGGAAGAAATTTATGGTGAAGAAAGGAAGCAATATGCACTGGTTGGGGGGGGGGGGGGGGGGGGAGAAAAACCAATCTGTGGTGACAACAGAAACAAAATGCAGTTTCCCCTGAAGAGAGAAAGCAATTCCAGAGTCAGAGTGCTATTTGGTGGGAAACAATAGTATATAAATATCAACTACCCCATTAGAAGCATGTCATAAAAAGTTGAGTTGAGTGAAGAACTGAAATCATGGCACTTAGGACATTCCCATGTGTGCCTCGTCCTTGTCATCAGCAGCCAGTGCACAGTTCCAATACTGATAGTACCGGTCACAATCTGGTTATATGTCCGTCTTGCCTTTCCTCTGAGTGTAGTGAGTCAGCCAGACCCTCTGGTTACACCCAGGTGCCTCATTCTCTCCAGGCCATAATAATCTTTTATCTCTTCTGATTCCGTTCCTTATTCTTTAAGGGCCTTGACCACATCCACCTTGTCATGCATCAATTTACTACCCAGTGGTGCAGATCTAGCCAATCTGTCTGCCTGTTCATTACCCACCACGCCGCCATAGCCTGGAGAAAAGACCTAAAGTATGCTAACTACCCGTGACCTTTCCAATGAAGCTTGCCATTCTGCTTGAAGCATCCCTTTCTTCACCTTTCTCAGCATGCTTTCATAAAAAAGCGACTAGTTAAGGTGTTTACTGAAATTTTACTGGCTGAGCAGAAGGCAAAAATATTGCAGCTTAGCAATAAACAACATACCAACAACCCTTTTAAAGGTGGTCACAGAAAAAACAAACCCAGATCAAATAGTTTGGTCACCTCATAAAAAATGCAGCCATACCATGTGCACCTGTGGAATGGTGCCCCAGACAGCAGAACATGTACTCCAGGACTGCACCGAATTTGACACATTAAGGCAAACCTTTTGGACAGAAAGAGCAACTGTGGAACGTAAACTCTATGGACTAACGAGCTAACAACGACAGTGAAATTTATTTGAGAGACAAAACTGCTGATATAGACAACTTATTTCAGGCGAACAAAGAAGAAGAAGAATGCAGCCAAACAATGAGCAACACAGGCGCTACAGAAGATCTGATGTGAGGAATTTTGGCTACAGTTTACAGCTGGCGAAGAAGATGAAAAGAAGAATTTACATTTGCCAGCAGAATCTTCTGGTTGTTCGTCTTCTTCTGGACTTCAGTCTTGTTCCAAAGCTTGAATTTTGCATGCACATCCATTCTAAGGTTGCATCTTTCGATATGGTCTGTGACCACATAGGTATTTCTTAATTTCCTATGCGGGTCTGCCCCCCCCCCCACCCCCCCCCTTTTCCCCTCCACCCCCCCCCCCCCAAAAAAAAAACAACCTGCAGAATGAAAATCAAAGAACTTACTATGCAAAAGCTTCCATTGTGTTCTCCAACCTTTCAGCAGCCCCTGGAAAATAGATGTTGAAACTTGAGAATTAAACCTAACCCCCCAACTGAACAATTTTCATTTGCCACTCAGTACTGTTGTTATTACTTTCCAACAATGAACCAAAGGATCAGGATGTGGAGGGCTCGGGCATACCTCACAATATGTGCTGATAAGAAACACCCACTGCATCAAGCGCTTTTTAGTGAAAAGGGCGACAGACTGAAGAGGGGAAAATCGTGGCTAGGTCGGGCAGAAGATGTTATTAGGCAAATATGCAGCCTAACCGACATCATACCTGGTGCAGAATGGATACCTGTGCCTCAGGCGTTTATTTGTACATTTTCCTGTATTGTCACACTCAACAGGCGATGTAGAGAAGAGAATCCTGTTGCTGTTAATGCAGAGGTCAACGCTCTCATCGGTGAAAATTCAGACGAAGCAGATGCAATAATCTATACAGACGGATCCGTTATACGCCAAAGAAGAAGCGCATGGGCATTTACAGCACGCTCAGCGGGCAGAACAGTCAAAGAAGCCAACGGTGCCTTCTCCATGACAAACAGCAGCATGACGATGGAGGTGATGGCAGTGACGCAAGCGTTTGCCTGGCTTGAAACACAAAAATACACCCGCATATGTATACTCAGTGATTCAATGAGTATGATCCGGAGGGTTCAGGCAGGTTCAGTGCGAAGACAATGGCTTGAATCATTACAGAAGTCCACTGTGCGTGGAGTCACCTTTATTTTTGTTCCGGGACACGCAGGCGTCGATGGAAATGAAAGAGCTGACAGGTTGGCTGGATCCGCTATCACTACCGACGGTCGGCCTATGGATCATGCTGATATTATCAATGCCCTCAGAGAAATGGGAAGGATAGAGGACTTTGGTGGCAGTGAATCCACATCACTCGCCAGAATGGCAGACTTGGGAATTGAGATCGGCACAGCAAAAAACGAGACGCACACCGGACACGTCAGAAGACTTGTTAATCAACATAGAACTGGTACTATTAGCCATCGGACGTTGGGGTTCATACTGAGGGGAGGATCTGAGCACCTATGGACATGTCTGGAGTGCAATGACGATAACCCAACTAACTAACTAACTAACTGTTGTTATTGCTGTTCTTTTTACCATTCAATGCCTGTAAAATTCAACAGAAAATCCACTTCTAGACCTTAGTTTTGATCCAGAACTTGATTTCTGTATGCAATTACGTTTTATCATCATCAGTTCTCGTTATGCCTAGTGGCACATGAGGCTTCAGAAAGGACTTTCCATGCTTTGCTGTCCTGGGCAATCTTCAGTGCAGTTTTCCATGTCAAAGATGCCACACTCAGGTCACTTTCCATCGTTTGTCTCCATGTTGTTTTTGGCGCCCCTGTCTTCTCTTTCCCTCTAGTGTCCATGTGAGAGCAGTTTTGGCAGGTATATCAGAAGTCATTCTCATAATGTGGCCAAGCCATTTCCATCTTCTCTTGGTAATCATACTGTCTAAAGTTTCTTGGTTTGTGGCTTGAAGTAGTTTAGTGTTTGAGATTGTATCTGGCCAGACAATTTTGATAATTCTACGTAGACATGTGTGGTGGAAGGTGGACAGCTTGTGTGCATTCTTTTTGGTCATTCTCCAGCATTCCGCTCAATAAAGAAGAACTGGCAAAATGATGCTCTTCTTCTTCTTTCTAAGAGAAATGTCTGGAGAACCACTGGTATCAACAATAAGGAGACAGAAGATAACCTATTAACTGAGAAAAGATTAACAGAGTCACCAAAAGGCATGGAAATGGAAAACTGGAGAAATAAGGAAATGGGGACACTCAAAAGAAACCTTAAAGTGAACACTAATGAGAAAGGCCAAAGGTGCTAAGCTGGATTCCATCCATGATATCGAAATGATTACAAAGGATAGAATAGAATGGAGAAACAAATGGAGAAACAAATTGCGAGCCCTACGTGACAATAGCACAATAAGATAACGAATGAACGACACAACACAGAGTACAAAGAAGACATTTACATCCACCCTTCTAAACACAGTTCGAGAAGGTATCTAGAGACACAGAGTATAAGATAATGAATGAACGACACAACATAGAGTACAAAGAAGACATTTACATCCATCCTTCTCCACACAGTTCTAGAAGGTATCTAGAGATACAGTAGAAGATAATGAATGAATGACACAACACAGAGTAGAAAGAAGACATTTACATCCACCCTTCTCCACACAGTTCTAGAAGGTAGTTGGAGACACAGAGTAGAAGATAATGAATGAATGACACAACACAGAGTAGAAAGAAGATATTTACATCCACCCTTCTCCACACAGTTCTAGATGGTATCTAGAGATACAGTAGAAGATAATGAATGACACAACACAGAGTAGAAAGAAGACATTTACATCCACCCTTCTCCACACAGTTCTAGATGGTATCTAGAGATACAGTAGAAGATAATGAATGACACAACACAGAGTAGAAAGAAGACATTTACATCCACCCTTCTCCGCACAGTTCAAGAAGGTAGAAGATCAGGAATGAGTAGAAAGAAGACATTAACATCCATCCTTCTCCACACAGTTCGAGATTCTAAGCTGGAGACACAGAAGAAGATAATGAACACAATTGTAACTTCAGTGCTTACCTCCTCGATGGCTGATATGTTTTGCTCTGAACTTTAAATGTTTCTTTTTATGAATAAGATTGGGATACTTCAACAGAATGAGGGATGTTATGATGTACCCTCCAATCACCGCTAGCAAAACCATACCGACGACAAAACCCGCCTCCAGAGTTAGACTCCAGAGATTGTTATCCAAGTTTAGTTTCAAGTCTGAAACTTGAGTCTCCACTGCAGAAGAAAAACCTCCACAGCCACAAATTGTATTATACTGCAACCATAATAACTGCCGTTTTTACAGTTCAGATATAAACTATACGCCATACAGCAGTCCCGAGATTAAAATTAATTAATTTTAAGTTTAAAGAATCAATTGGGAATCATCATCCAAATGTGAAAATGACACAGCATAGTTCGGGTCATCATAAAGGCCAAGGTTTTTTCCTACTATCTCGTTCCTTTCTCAAAGAAAACTACTGTCATACTTAGCGGGCATTATTGTTTGTGCTCAAAATGTGAGACATTCCACGAAAAACAGGTAAATCTGTGGAGAAATGAGGAGAAATTGTGGAAAGTTTGGATGTTGTCGCGACAAACAGCTGCCGCTAACGACCATGTCAACAAATCGTCTGCATATGGGAAGTAAAAAACATGTATCTGAATTGTTTCGTTTCTTTTGTGTAGAAAATTTCCCCCTTGTGTTGCGTGTGTCGTCATGTTTTGTCTAAGCCTTCTGTACAGTGTACCTCAGGGGCGACGGCACAGGGAATCCTTGAGGTCATCTAAGTTTAAGAGCTCCCCTTTCTAAATTTGTCAGGGAAAAATCGGGAAAGGAAGAGCGAGGGGGGAGGGGAGGGTTGCTATAAGCGTTGACCTAACTATGTACCGTTATTCTTTTTGATTTGTGTTTATAAATATAAATATATTATTTAAAATATATCATTAGATTTCTTTGCAACTCAGCGCATTGATATTATTACTGTTGACAATGTGAACACGGCTTAGGTTCACTGTTTCTTCCCCTTTATAGTCCTTGCCGTAAGGTCATCGTGTCTGCAAACAACCATCTGTCTTTTATACTACATCTATTTGGTTAGTTGCGTATCCTTTACAGTTTTTAAAAGGAGTAGAAAATTATAGGGAAAAAAAAGTTGGTAAGAAACAACAAACAGTTTATGTGAGCTTTACAAAATCGATCACAATAAACATACAAAGGACTTGCGGCAGGATGTTGCAGAACCAACCCCAACCGCCCCTTGCTGTTGTGTGGTTTTTCTAGGCAAATTTACGTCCAGTAGTGCTACATCTATTTTAGGCCTAAATATACAGAGAGAGAGAGAGAGAGAGAGAGAGCAAGAGAGAGAGAGAGAGCAAGAGAGAGAGAACGGGAGCGAGGGAAAGAGATAGACATAAAAAAGGGGGAGGAGGAACAGGGAATGAAAGACAGGAGTAGGTGAGGAAGGAAAACACATACAAACACAGAGAGAGAGAGAGAGAGAGAGAGAGGGGGGGGGTAGAATAGTGGTTTGCTGAAGTCGGATATATTGGGCGGACAGGTACATATATATATGTGTGTGTGTGTGTGTATATATAAATCTTATATTCATCACAGCCTAGCTGTTAACCATAACACAGTATTCTGTCTACTCTTTAAGGGCGAACACAGAAGATAATGTCCATGTTTGGCACTGGCTGCACTGTGTTGGTATGAATGTACTGTTTTCCAAGTGTGGGTGCCAGGGCCCTATTGTATGGTAAACAAGAATAGACTCATTGCCTCCCAGCAAGCATGTTGTAGAAGATGACTAATTGGAAGCTTTCTTCGAAGTTGGAGTGCATCTGCCTGACACGCAAAGAACCAACAATATGCATACAAAAAAGTCAGATTTGTAAAATGGATGTGCCCACAGCACACAGGTTTTGGAACAAGACTGAATTCCAGAGGTAGTTATAACTTTCTCGTTTACAGCTGGTAAACGTGAAAAGACTGTAGGAGTGGCCAAAAGAGATAAAATCAGGAATGAGGTCATACGAGATAAAGTCGACACAGAACCAATTCGTAATTACATAGAAAGAAAGCAAATTAAATGGTTTGCCCACTTGGAGAGAATACCTCCTGATGCTATACCATACAAGGCAAATACCAAAAGAGGAGGACGTAAAGCAAGAACAATATGGGAAGATAACATCAGAGAAACTCTACACCACCACGATGTGTCTATGGTTGAAGCAGCCAGAAGAGCAGGAAGCAGGACCTTATTTCTCCCATGAAACCCGAAGCGGTAAAAGAGGACGTAAAGAAGAAGAGAAGAAGAAAAACGTGAAAAAGAAGATTATGCTGCTTTTAACCTATTGCTTGGCGATCACACTTGAATATTTTTTGTTCACTAGATGTAAGCTTCAGCAAAAAGTCCTGTCTGTTCATTCAATCCTGAACTTTGGCTTTGTTCGAGGTCATTAGTTTTGTGTGCACATCCAATATATAGATCTGGCTTTTCTAAATCCAGACTGCTGATCCTTGCTTCTCAGGCTGATGTACTCTGAATTAAAAGAAAAACCTGTAATTTAGTTGCATTATAAATAACCTGGTTGTTAAGGAGCCTGCTGGACTATTCTACTATTTGCCCCTACTTCCAAATTGGGCCAGGTAGCCCATATGTAGAGCTGGTCATTTTAATGCACAGATGTCCTAGAAATGGTATCTTGGTGCTGGAGTTGCCGGGTTCAAACTCCGGTTGAGGTTGGGATTTCTTAACATGGACTTCTAGTAATTTCCCCTTGTGTCTGAGTAGTAAGATCGGATGCCCATGCGTATTGTTGCCCACGTTAAAAAAATCCCGTGGCAATTGGGAATCGAAAAAAGTAGCCTAACGGTGCTGCCCGGGCACAATTTGGAATTAAAAATGTATCCAAAGTATTTCAGGATCCTCGCAGAGGAGTTTGTGCACTGCACGGAGATTCTTCAGACTCAGGCTTAAGGTAAAAGAAGAATGGATGGTTTATTGGTTATACCTGTGTGCTATGATGTTGATCCAATGAATAAACATAAACAACATGCTTGTTAGGAAGCCTGCCGGACTATCCCCCCTCCCCCCGATTAGGGACCCATAACCCATACTCGGAGCTGGTCATTTTTTAATGTGTAGATAATGTCTTAATAATGGTATCAGCTGGTATATAAGCGCACCTCGTAATTAAAATAATCAATATTGGGATGCTTTTCATTAAAATTGAGCAATGAAGATTGTCATTAAATTATATGACAGCATGAAACCACCATCAATTAACACCGTCCAATACGTCATATGTTCATGTCCATAATGGAGGATGGCTGTGGTAGATTTATGCTTCAGCTACCGTCTTTTGGAAGATTACTTGATGAGGTATCAACTCATCGATAGTGCAACACATTTATGTCAAGGTGATATGTAACAGATGATGGTAGAAGCAAAACAGAAATCAAAAAGAGAATAGGAAGGATGAAAACTGTCTTAATTAAGATGCGCACATTACTGACAGCTAGAATGATAAATAACACACTAAAAATGAGAATCGTCAAATGTTATCTATACCCAATTTTGCCCTGTGGTGCATAGTGAACAAGCAACTAGACAATTTAATTAAGTCCCTGGAGATGTGGGTATACAGAAGAATAAGTCGTGTTTCATGGAAACAAAAACAGTCCAAAACAAAGGTTCTGGAAAGACTACAAATGAAAAGAGAATTACTGAAAGAAATTTTAAAAAAAGGGACAACTGAAATACTTCCACCATATTAAAAGACATAAAAACCATACTCGAGGAAAAGGGCAAAGGCAGGAGGTGGGCCACGATACATATGGGAGGATAATATCAAGAAATGGACGGGCAGTAGTCTGAGAGAGTGTACAAACCAGGACAAGAGACAGGGCGTGCTGGAGATCCACAGCAGCCAACCTTCACTGTGAAGACGGCACCCGATGACTGACCCAGGCGATCAGAAGAGCAAACAGCATAATTGTTTATCCCCTCACCCTCCCAACACTGTAAAAGAGGAAGTGAGGAAGATAAGTAGAAAAGGTATCAATCTTTCCCAAGGTGTGACTCATGGGAGGTTTGTGAACGCCACAGTCATGGTATTTTTTTCAAAATCGGCTAACACTTGTAAGCTGATGCTTGTGAAATGTGTTCAAAAACCACTAAGCCAGTGTTCCTGAACCTTTTTATGCTCATAGCTAACCAACACAGAGAAAATTTGAATAAAGAAGACACAGCCAGTCATATCTTGTCAGGTGCCCATTACAGTAACAATAACTTAAATGAAGCAAATAAGATATTATATCATCATCATGTAGCACGTCTTTTGTAGAATGTCGCTTTCATCACAGTCTGCCTGAAAGAAACTCGGTCTCTCACCAGTTCTCCCGCCTCATGAACTTTCATATTCAAGGAGTCACTTATATCTTGTGCCCATCTTCGTGTCGGTCGGCCCCTGCCCATCCTTCCTGGTACCATGCCTTCTGCTATAATTTTTTCCAATCCGTCGTGGCGCTTGATATGACCAAAATATTTCAGCTTCCGAGACAGGATTCTGTATTTTAACCAATCTTCCTTGATGTTCAGATCATTCAAGATGTCAGTATTTCTCCTCTTCGTTGTCCAAGATATTCTGAGAATCTTCTTATAGCATTTCAGCTCAAAAGCCCCTATTCTCTTTCCTAAGGACTGAGAGATAGTCCACGACTCGCATCCACATGTAGCCACAGGGAAGATGCATGCTCTCAAAATTCTAATTTTGATCTCGTTGCTGGTGCTTAACCATAGACTTTTAATGCTGTTCAATCTTTGAATTTGTATCAATATACTGGTTGTGTCTTCTTTGATCAAATTTACAACAGCGGATATTGTTATGTGGCCATCCTGAAAACTAACCACAGATAGAAATGTAACTACTGTGCCGTCAGATTATACAACCATCAAGTGCACTAAAATGACTTTTTTGTGCAGTTTACCAAGGTTTTGGGGATTTGCACCTGTTTGATTCTCATAACCGATACAACAATCCTACATACTGCAATCCTGGAAGAGAAAAAACTACCAATCAACCCCGTTATATAATTAGGCAGTCATCTTTGACAGCCTACCCCACAGCCCACTGTTTGAAAAACACTGCACTAAGCCATAGTAAAGTTTCTTTTCTGAAATTAGAAGAAGAATTGTCCAGGAAGAACAAGTTTTTGCAAGATAGAGAATGTACTCAGAATTCAGGCAGATATCCACCTTGGCGACTAATTATTACCTACAACTGCAGGGTTAAACTGAAACTTTTCTCATGTTTTCACTTTTGATAGTTGTCCAAGGAGCAGAATCTTGCGGTTAATGCAGAGATTCACACACTTGTCAGTGACAGTTCTGATCAGGCAGATGTGGTGTTTTACAGACAGTTCGTTGTATGAGGTTGCAAAAGCGCATGGTCATCAGTAGCATTCTGTAGGGAGAACAGCCCAGGAGACCAGCAGTGTCTTCTCTATGATTGGCGGTGCCTTTTCTATGACTGGCGGTGCCTTCTCTATGACTGGCAGTGCCTTTTCTATGACTGGCGGTGCCTTCTCTATGACTACTAACAGCATACAATGAAGGTTATGTTGGTAAAACAAACTTTTATGTGGCTGAAATCACAAGGCTATTCTTGTATGTGTGGGATGAGTGATTCTGTGAGCATCATCGGAGTGGGGGGGGGGGGGAGGGTGTCAAATGCACAATTTGTGGACTGAGTGACTACAAAGGTCCGCCCTGCATAAAGTTACCTTCATCTTTTCCCCAGGGGATACAAGTTTTGTTTGCAATGAAAGGGCTGAAAGATTGGCTGGCTCTGCTGCATATGCAAATGGCCAGCCTATGAATTATGCTGACATTGTTAACACCCTTAGGGAGAGAGAGAAAACGATTGGGTGATTTGGCAGGGCGTCTACTTCGCCGCTAAGAACTGGGAATAAAGATTGGCAGAGTCAGGCACGGTAGGCGCATTTAACAGGAGACAGGTCAACCAGCACAGGACTGGTACAATTAACTACAGGACACCCTTGCATATATCGAGGGTTGGAGTCTGAGCACCTATGGCCATATCTGGAGTGCCATCAAGATAACCCAACTTATAACTCAAAAGTAAATATGTCAACTGTTGTGTGGAAAAACTGTAAACAACAACCACAAAAATATCAGAATTGCTACAATAATCAAGACATGATAGTAAGTACATAAATTTTTTATAATCATCATTCTAAGAATGTAACAGAAATCAGTAATAATATTTTTTAAAAAAATCAGCAGCTTTTGCAACCATTAGCAAATGGTTTCACTTTCAATAGTGGTGGTAGCAGAGACAATAAAAAATAAACAATCTCATGTTGTGCAAACAAAAAGAGCATGTTGAAAATTTGAAGTTTATGGTAATCTAGACGTTCCTTTGATCAGACGTACAGTGTAACAAGAGAATAAAATGTGGTTTGGGTAGTTCAGAGGAATGATTTATTTTTTGTGCTTTATGTTGATGTCACTCTGTAGTAACGCACCTGACGAGATACAACAAATATGCCAGACAATAAATTAGACAATATATTGTTTATGTCTGATTTCTTTAAATTTACCATGAAGAAATTGTTTTGCTGTGGAGATATTTAAGAGAATTCTTCTTCTTCTTTTGCATTCACTGGAAGACGTAGATGCTTTATGTCCGTTTACAACATGACTGCAACATTTGTGCCCTTCAGCCAACATATCCTGATTCTGCAGGCATTTTTTGCTTGATTTAGCCTTCCTGGCATAAAGGAATTAATAACAGGGAATGTCTTGCAAATGTCTGAATTTTCTTTCATTTGAACATTTTTAAAATAAAATAAAAAATATATAGCATTCTAAAACTGTATGCATACTGGCAATAAACTATATCTCTTTAAATGGACACACAAAATGTTATAATACAGCCATAATTATTGACAAAAATATAAAAAAATAGAGTAAAGGAAACTATCTCATTCTATGAAGTGTACTGGCTATATGGTGCTAATAAATATCAACTGTGGCTGTTTTTTTTTTTATTTCCTAGGATATTTCATGGTAGCCATTTCAACTGTGTCAGCCTGGAAGCCCAAGGTAATTAAAAACATTCGCTGCTTCAATAGGGATTCGAACACATGACCTCTGAGCTCAATAACATGTTAGAAATTAATCACAACCTGATCTGTGGGAACAAACTGTTATGATAGAAAGAGCGAACATATTTACATATATGCCTACTCTTTCTTTTAATTAAACGAAAAGAAAATCCATTATGCAACCTTTAACCCTCTGAGCCTTGTTTTTTCCCCAGACCTTTCTAAAACATACATTGAATTCCCAAGGGGACAAATCTTACAAGACCTATACAGCATCTCAGTCATTATCATGAATTATTTAAATATAAAATTTTTATCATTACTATTTTTTGTGCGCTTGTAACAATTTTTTCGAAGTAAAATCTGCTAGCTTTTGTGTGGCTGGCACTGGAAATTTTTCTTTGGTCCCTAAAAGCTTGTTGCCATGAGCTGATGACGGAATCCGAGAACTTCTTGACTGAACTGTTCACTGTGCAGTAAGGATGATATGTCACTAATGTTACAAGATTTATAGAGAAAATCAAATACAGTTTATGAAATCTTTGTTACTGGTTTCCTACATCTTTACTCAAACCCTTCCAAGATTCCTTAAAGAACCAATCCCACCAAATTTCTAAGAAGATGTTTAATAATCTCTTCCATGGTGTGATGCTCGTACAACCATTCTTCTTTTCATTCATTTGAGTGACATAACTGCCTTGTGCCTGTTTACATCAGAGCTGCGATAGTTGCTCCTTTTGGCCATCACACTTGACTTCATCAAACATTTGTTGACCGGGTTAACTTCCCGAAGTACAACTGCTCACAAGAATATTTCATACTTAAGTACAAAACATTGTAACCACCTCTGATATTTAATGAGACAACCCCACACCACCCCCCCCCCCCCCCTTAATAAGAGAAAACATATTCAGGGAATAGTGCACCCTGGCTGAAATTTTAAACTATAGGGTCAAAATACCAAGACTGGAAATAACAATAAATTTAAAAGACAAAATTTTGGTTTTCAGGCAAGTCAATTCTGTAGACAGCATCTGCCAGGTTGAAGTAGGCCAGGTATGAGGCATTATCTGGCGTGGTGTCGTAGTGGTAGTGCCCACCCTGGCCGTGATCACTGAAGCAGTGAAAATGTTCTTGTCGAAGATGTAGCTTCTGCAACAAAATCAGAATTTAGAATTTAATTTTCAGTAACCTAATGACCAATTATTATGCATTAACTCTTTAAGGCCCGAGCAACAGTGTGGGCATTGAATGAAAAGTTCCGTTTTGCCCAAACAACGCTGTCATCGTCGATCGTGTGTCTTGTACATATTGCTTCGCACACTGGCTTCGTACTTGTTTATAATGTTGGGAACTATGATCAAAGTATTCAGGGAAAGTCAATCTCTGAAATTTAAGCGATCAGGTGTTCGAAATATAGCGATTCTGATGAGTATACATAGACAATGTCCCATTGCTACTGTATTTATGGTGTAAGAGAAGGAAAGTGCTCCAAACAAAGAGACAGTACTATACTATGTATGGCTAAGCTACATTAAAATCATTGCAGCTACAGTCTGTATTTAACTGTACAAAGTCAATATTAATTAGTGTGTGTAATGGCCCATTTTGCTGCTATTTTCTCTCTGAAATTAAGCTCAGCACTCTGTGAGGACTAAGAGCCCCTGAGTGCTAAACTAACCCAGAAACTCATCATAACTTTGGAATTTGTTAGATAATTGAACTAACTTTGAAGTTTTGTTTTTAAATTTGGATATTCACTACTCTTGTGGCTGCAAAATCATGGTAAGTGAAGAATTTGTTTGTAAAATGTTGTTTTTGTGAAATTAACAGCTGCTGAATTCTTCTTTCCTACTAACTATAAACAAATTAAACATACACTTATCATCAGATTCAAAATGTACATACATTTCTTTTTTTTTTTAAATGTACACTTTTACTGGGATTAGGCGTATATTACATTCTCTATTGCCTTTCTTGTACACCACCCCCTCTGCCATTTTTTGTAAAGGGAAATTAATGTGGGCCAAGTCTGTCAAAATTTATGAGCTTGAAAGAGTTAAAAGTCTATGGCTAAGCACTAGCATGGAAATAATATAAATTTTTTTAGAGCATCCATGTTTTCTATGGCAACATACAAATGTGAGTCTTGGACTATCCAACAGTCCTTAAGGAAGAAAAAAGAGCTTCTGAGCTGAAATGTTATGAAAAGATTCTCAGAATACCACAGACAATGGAGACAAGAAATAGAGACACACTGAACTGGTAAACAGCATCATCTCAAAAACTGAAATATTTTGGCCATATCAAGCGCCATGGTGGATGTGAAAGAATAATAGCATAAGGCACGGTATTAAGAGAACAGGTACTGACCAGCATGAAGATGGGCACAGAATAGAAGCGACATTTAGGGCATGAGGTGAGAGAGCTGACGAGAGACAGAATTTCTTTTAAGCAGACCGTTAAAAAATCAACATTCTGCAAAGGACCTGCTACATGATGATGATGAGTAAATAATCATTTGGAAAGAGAATAGAAGCAACAGGCAGGATAAGTAATAGAGCCTGTTGGAGATCCCATGCAGTCAAACTTCACTGTGAAAAAGACACACTATTGATTACTTGGTATTTTTTCACTCTCTTTTCTCTTCTGCATTTTATCGTCAAATGAACCACTGGTCCACAATGAGCTTGCCCTAAAATGTCAACTGGAAATTACCACAATCTGTGAAAGTCAGAATTATTACTTTTACACAACCCCCCCCCCCCCCCCCCCAAAAAAAAAACCATCAACGTTAACAAGGATGTAACACCTGGTCTCCCAAATTTACAGTCCACCTTTTTAACGGCTCCATGAAATGCTCCTATATGAACAATAATTATACAAACTAATCTTTATCAGAGGATGAAGCATGTCGTACACTTACCTCAGGGTCAGCAGACACAATCTCCCCGACATGGATCAATGGGGCGTCCATCTCGTAGAATCGCAACCACCGGTCAGTCTCTTCGTCTGTCTCAATCTTTGTTGTTGCAAAGTCCGGCTGAAAATACATTACAATTACTACATATTGTCATCACCATGAAGTATGTTTTTTGCAGAAAGTCACTCTGATCACAGTTTGCCTGAAAGAAACTTGGTCTCTTGCCAGCTCTCCCGTAATTTTTAATGGAGACTGTGTGACAGAAATCAAAAGGTGGATGGCCACAGCAATGCAAAGATCAAACAGTATTGAAAGCCTATAGTTTTTAAGAACCAGCTAGGAAATCGTCAACATTTTGAGAGCATGCATCTTCCCTGTAGCAATATACGGATGTGAGAGTCGTGGACCATCTCCCAGACCTTAAGAAAGAAAATAGGGGCTTTTGAGCTGAAGAAGTGAAGAAATACTAATAAAAATCATCTTGCCTCAGAAGCTGAAATATTTATACCAAGTGCCAAGGAGGTTAGGAAAAAATAACAGCAGAAGGCATAGTACCAGGAAGGAGGGCCAGGGGCCGACCAACATGAAGATGGGTGCAGGATATAATTTTTTCCTTGAATAAGTACACGAGGCGGGAGAGCTGGATACAGCCCACGTTTTTTTGGGGGGGGGGGGCAGACTGTGATGAGAGCGATGTTCTGCAAAGGACCTGCTACAGATGAGTCATGTCTGCACACAGCCTTTTGTCCCGTGTACCTGTAATCATTTCTGACGCAAGGATCCTCCAAGCCATGACTGCAAAAATATCCAATATCTTATCTTTTGGTCTCTGTCTTTCTTCCTCTACAACTTTTTAGTTGTTCATTTCCTCCCCTTTTCATTGTTCATACAAAGATCCTCTTCATCTCACATCAAACTTGATCATAAGTGCTTTGATCTCCACCCGAGTAATCCCCTTTATCAGGACATGACTAAAGAATGTTGATGGTCTGTTTCTGGGAATTACAGGTAATCAGATCTGTCTGTCTGTTAATTTGTCTCCAGAAATCTTCATTATAAGATACAGGTAATCAGATCTGTTTGCCTGTTAATTTGTCTCCAGAAATCTTCATTATAAGATACAGGTAATCAGATCTGTTTGCCTGTTAATTTGTCTCCAGAAATCTTCATTATAAGATACAGGTAATCAGATCTGTTTGTCTGTTAATTTGTCTCCAGAAATCTTCATTATAAGATACAGGTAATCAGATCTGTTTGTCTGTTAATTTGTCTCCAGAAATCTTCATTATAAGATACAGGTAATCAGATCTGTCTGTCTGTTGATTTGTCTCCAGAAATCTTCATTATAAGATACAGGTAATCAGATCTGTTTGTCTGTTAATTTGTCTCCAGAAATCTTCATTATAAGATACAGGTAATCAGATCTGTTTGCCTGTTAATTTGTCTCCAGAAATCTTCATTATAAGATACAGGTAATCAGATCTGTTTGCCTGTTAATTTGTCTCCAGAAATCTTCATTATAAGATACAGGTAATCAGATCTGTTTGTCTGTTAATTTGTCTCCAGAAATCTTCATTATAAGATACAGGTAATCAGATCTGTTTGTCTGTTAATTTGTCTCCAGAAATCTTCATTATAAGATACAGGTAATCAGATCTGTCTGTCTGTTGATTTGTCTCCAGAAATCTTCATTATAAGATACAGGTAATCAGATCTGTTTGTCTGTTAATTTGTCTCCAGAAATCTTCATTATAAGATACAGGTAATCAGATCTGTTTGTCTGTTAATTTGTCTCCAGAAATCTTCATTATAAGATACAGGTAATCAGATCTGTTTGTCTGTTGATTTGTCTCCAGAAATCTTCATTATAAGATACAGTAATCAGATCTGTTTGTCTGTTAATTTGTCTCCAGAAATCTTCATTATAAGATACAGGTAATCAGATCTGTTTGTCTGTTAATTTGTCTCCAGAAATCTTCATTATAAGATACAGGTAATCAGATCTGTTTGTCTGTTGATTTGTCTCCAGAAATCTTCATTATAAGATACAGGTAATCAGATCTGTTTGTCTGTTAATTTGTCTCCAGAAATCTTCATTATAAGATACAGGTAATCAGATCTGTTTGTCTGTTGATTTGTCTCCAGAAATCTTCATTATAAGATACAGGTAATCAGATCTGTTTGTCTGTTAATTTGTCTCCAGAAATCTTCATTATAAGATACAGGTAATCAGATCTGTTTGTCTGTTGATTTGTCTCCAGAAATCTTCATTATAAGATACAGGTAATCAGATCTTCTTATTCTTTCGTTCGCTTCAAATAAATTATCGATATCTGCAATGATATCAATGTAATTAGATCTCTTTGTCTATTAATTTATCTCCAGAGATCTTCATTATAAGAAAATCTCAAACAATGCAAAGAAGCATTGCATACAAAGCATATTCATTCCAATCCTATGCTACCAGTGTCAGACATGGTCACTCACTGCAAACTAAGAAAGAAAATAAGTAATCACATAAATGAGATGTAAGAGAAGGACTGCAAGAGTGACAAGAAGAGATAAAATCAGAAATCACGTGAAAAGAGAAAAGGTCAGTACAGAAAAAAATTGTAAATTGCATACAAAGACAGCAGATCATATGGTTTAGTTCACTAAGAGATAATGCTTTCAAGGTATACATCAAAAGCAGAAGGTAGACCAAGAACAACATGGAAAGACAACATCTACAACAGCACAATGTGTCTATGGTCAAGGTGGCTAAAAAGAGCAAAAAGCAGAACTTACTCCTTTTCGACACTCAAAGCAGTAAAATAGGAAATGCTGAAGAATACAAATGTCTTCTTTATATTTTTTAATCAGGGCAACTTTCAACACAAGCCTTATAAATTAAATGAAGACTTGGAAACAATGGCCTTTTAAGGACTAGAACCCTGTCCTAACAAGAAACAACTTACCATGACGTGAATATTGGCTTTTCCAGTCTGAAGCAAGAATGTCCCAGCTATTCCAACTGCTTTTTCACCGTATTGCTCCGTCAATGTTTTGTGAATACAACTGACAAAATTCTCATCCCCAGTTCTGTTTCTTGCTTTGATTTCCAGAACCTATTCAAAAAAAAAAAAAAATCTTACAAACACAATCAAATCTATATCTCAAATTATAAATAATCTATATGCTACAAATCTTCTTCTTCTTCTTCTTCTGCCTTTTTATCCCCCAATGGAGCATAGGCCCTCAACCAACTCACGCCAAGTCGTTCTATCCTTCGCCATTACATGGAGCTCTTCCCATGTCCTCCCAATCTTTCTAACCTCATTCTCCAGCTCTCTTCTCCATGTGTTTTTTGGCCTTCCTTTATTCCTATGCCCCTGTGGGTTCCAATGCAAAGACATTCTAGTTATGCTATTTCCTTTGCTACTTCCATTGTTCTCCCTATATCATAGAGAGTTCTAACATTCCAGGTGCCAATTCTGGAGGTTTTCCTAGCTGAGAGGAGGTAAGTCAACGATCCGGACTCCTTACGACTTTCTCCACACCGTGTCATACTTCTTCTATTTGAAGAGCCTCCCCTCATCTTGGTTGGCTGGAGTTTATTTGCTTCTCTTTTTGACTTATCCATGGTTGGTTGGTTTTTGTGGCTATGCTACAAATCTAGGTATATTAAATTTTGAATTAAGTATCAACATCATAGCACTTGAGACTCTCCCATAAGCGCTCCATCCTCCATCTCCAGCAGCAAGCAAAGAGTTCCAGTTGTGAATTTATCAGTATCTGTCTTGTTGTTGTACATCCGCCTCACCTACCTGGATAGGCTCTTAGAATCGGACTTAAAAAAAATTAACAGCCGTGCAAACAGAGAACATTTTAATTCATGCTACACCTTCCTTCATGCTACACCTTCCTTCATGCTACACCTGCCTTCATGCTACACCTGCCTTTATGCTACACCTTCCTTCATGCTACACCTGCCTTCATGCTACACCTTCCTTCATGCTACACCTGCCTTCATGCTACACCTGCCTTCATGCTACACCTGCCTTCATGCTACACCTGCCTTCATCAACAGCCATTGATGAGTTTCCATGCAGAGGGTGCCGGTGCCTAACTCATTAGAACTGCAGTGAAAGCAGTGAATGAATGGATCAAGAATGGACATCACTTTATGTGGGGCATTCCTACATATGCTTTGCCCCTTTTCAGAAGAGAACACAAAGTTTTGATACGGATAGTGCCATCTGCAGCCTGCCCATCATTTCCCCTTGCATGTTGAACACCGTCTAGACCCACTGCAGACTCCATGCTGAATCATCTGTCACGAGATGGATGATTTGTAACTCTTGATCCATATCCAAAGTAGATCAATACCAAGAGGACCAACAGCAGCTAATCTATCAGCTTGCTAATTACTACACACTGAAGAACATCCTGGACACACAAAGTTTATGCTACACACCGGATGTGCATCTTATCAAGTGAATTTAGCCACTCTATTATGTGTCACAGCTATTTTTTCTTCCAAGTAGGCTAGACAAAGTAGCGGTATCCAGCTACTGTGAGACTGCAGTGAAATTTCAATCAAAGTTTATATCAATTAACAATAAAGTTAGCTACAAAACAAATTCATTCCAGCAGAAAATTATCCAGATATCAAAAGAAAGTTTCATTTACTAAAGCTAAAAGGGTTGTTCACGAAAGTCCAGTGATGACCTCTCAATGTTCCCCAATGAAACCTTATTTCAAAATGTGAGGTCAACTTTTGCGTGCACAGAAGAGGGGAAATTAAAGGGTAATATCACTGATACAGATCTTTAGGAGAACCAAAGGACTGTCAAATGACAGTCTGCAATCTGATCTCAGATTCAGTATCACTGATACAGATCTTTAGGAGAACCACAGGGCTATTGTCTAATGACAGTCTACAATCTAATCTCAGATTCAGTATCACTGATGCAGATCTTTAGGAGATCCACAGGGCTATTGTCTAATGACAGTCTGCAATCTGATCTCAGATTAAGTATCACTGATACGGATCTTTAGGAGAACCACAGGGCTGTTTTCTAATGACAGTCTACAATCTGATCTCAGATTAAGTATCACTGATTCGGATCTTTAGGAAAACCACAGGGTTGTTGTCTAATGACAGTCTGCAATCTGATCTCAGATTCAGTATCACTGATACGGATCTTTAGGAGAACCACAGGGCTATTGTCTAATGACAGTCTACAATCTGATCTCAGATTCAGTATCTCTGATACAGATCTTTAGGAGAGAACTTCTTCTCTAGCCCCGTTCTGCCTGTCAGCATCAGGCTTTGAAGAGGCATTGGGTGTGAGCCTTGGTATGTGCTACGTAGATACTAGTATTTATGGTTTCAGACATTCCATCTATCCATGATTTATGTGATTTACATCTAGAGAGAACTCAACAAATTAAAAGGAATCCAAAAGTGGAAAGAAAGAAAGATGCTATCCTTTGACAGAACAAAATCTAGCAAGCCATACAGTATTATGACTAGAATCATTTGTTCGAATCTGGAAAGAAGTGGATTATTATCTTTCAGGCTGACCGAGCCTAAAATGGGCAGTAGGACTCATCCAGAGAGGTAAAGGTGGTTGTCTTGAAGTTACCTATAGGAACCATGAGTGCTGATTAGTCATCAAAAAATAGGCTCAGTGTCACAAGCCTGATGCCCCAATGACAAAGGCCCCTAAAAGGGGTCTTCACTTGTTTACTTAATGTCATCAGAATGTCCTTGCACTGCAATCCACAAGGTTAAACATACTGATCACTTCCTCTTCTTCTGTTCACTTGAAAAAACATTATCTATATCTGCAATGCTGTCTCTAGTATGAACTTTACTGACTTTTGTAATTTACTTGGCGGCCTGTAAAGTCTGGCTTCTACCTGTGTCTTTCTAGGCCAGAAATTGTGTCTGGAAATGTCGTATTTAGGACAGTCTTGGAGGACGTGATCTGTTGTTTCAGGTGCCAGTCCACATGTGCTCATGGCTGATTCGCCTGTCTTAAATTTTGTGTACAACATCAATCACTCAATCAGGTGCTATTTTCACAGTCAAGGTTGGCTGCAATGCCCCTCCAACACACTATGTCCGTCGTCTTAAACATACAATCTCAAAATAGTTTTGTAGATAGTAAATTTAATATTTAAAAGTTTTGTAGATAGTAAATTTAATATTCAAAAGTTTTGTAGACAGTAAATTTAATACTGTAAAGTTCTGTAGGCAGTAATTTAATATTCCAAAGTTTGGCAGATAGTAAATTTAATAATAAAGAGGAGAAGAGGGTTCTGAGCTGAAATGCTATAGAAAGATTATCAGAATACCATGGACAAAGAAGAAAAGGAATACTGACATTCTAAAAGATCTGAACATAAAAGAACATTGGCTAATAAACAGCATCTTGTCTCGGACCGAAAAAAAAATAGCAGAAGGCATGGCACCAAGCAGGAGGGACAGGACCCGACCAACATGAAGATGGTCCCTTGAATATGAAAGTCCACGAGGTGGGAAAGCTGGCGAGAGACCAAATTTTTTTCAGGCAGACAGTGATGAGAGCTACGTTCTGCAAATGACCTGCTACATGATGATGATGAGAGCGACGTTCCACAAACGATCTGCTACATGATGATGATAATGAGCAGCTCGTGAACAGTTAACGCTGGGCTTTCATGCGGGAGGCACAGGTTTAAATCTTCGGCAAAGCTGTGGACATTCTGTTAGGGCAAAAACATAAAATCCTAATCTGCACAGTCCATGTGATAGCACTAGTGAGGAGGTGCTAAATGCTCCAACTCAAAGACCCCCCCCCCCCCACCCTCTTTTCCCCCTGTAACAAATGTTAAATAAGGGAAGCACTAGCAATTGTATGTCCTGAATGTGGCCAGATTTCTTCATGCGCAGACAGTAAAGGACAAAACAAACACAACTCCTGGATGCTCTAAAAATATCTGTGGGGATGGGGTGGATAGACCCACTGCACCCTAACAAGCATGTTCTAAAGTTCTTACCTCATGGGTCCCATCCTCACAGAACAGCTATTACCTGTTTGTGCTTGTCATACTCATCTATACCGTGTTCTATCCTCAAGCATTTTGGTTTTTTAAAAGTGATTTTTGTGTATTTGAATGGTTTTGTCTGATTTATGTATGTACTGATGAAGGTTCTGGTCAATTCTGTGGCTAAGTTGATGAAAACGCTTCGTAATGCCGGGTTCGATCCCAGCTGCGGGCCATGCACCTTGTGTTGGTTTCGACAGTGGCATCAAGAAAGCCGACCGTCCAGAAAGCAATGGCTAACTAATGGATGTAAATTTGCCTACAAAAACCACACAACAGCCAGGGGCTGTTGGGGTTTGTTTCTGCAACGTCCTGTGAAGGATACGTAACTAACCTTGATGAAGGCTCTTAAGCTGAAATATTCACCCTTCGTTTGCTTGTGTTATATTGTGAAGCTCAATAATCTACTTTTTCAGATTTATATCTTGCCATAATTAATCAGGAATTTTCTGAGATCACATGAGCTGGTCGAAAGTTTAGATATTATAAACTAGCCCAAAACAACGTGCCAATCGCTCTGTTAAGGTCAAAGGCACAAGAAGTATTATAAAACTAGAGAGGGAGCAGTCCAAACTGGCATTCTGCACAAAGCAGCAGCAAAAAACACAAATACACAAGTTAATCAGCGCTGAGATCTCACCTGTCCGGGCTTGCCTTCGCTGAGCAGGAAGTTGCCCATCAGGCTAAACTCTCCAGATGTTTCCTTCTCTAGTATGTACTGACCATCCTAAGGAAATATTTGAGGAGGTAAACAAAATATAATGCAAACACTGAAGACATTATTTAACAATAATTACCAAAATTTATACAATAATTATTATAAAACTACCTTGGCTCCCAGGTCAACTTAGTCTAAAAGAGGTACTAGGTAAAGTGCTGAGAGAAAGAGGTAGCCGGTATGACATAATAGACAACAACGAGAAGGAAACAGAAAAAAGTTCTTTGGTCATGTGATAAGAAAAGGAGCACTGGAAATTACTGTGATGACTGGAGAGAGCACTGGTAGAAGAGGCAGGGGCAGACCAAGAGAAATTACGGTGGATGGGTTAAGACAGTGGCATGAAGGAATATCATCAGTAGATTTGATCCAGAACACCAAATATTGAGATCTGTGGTGACGCATGAACGCCAGCTGGTGTTAACCACAGCAACCAACAAGTGACATTTGGTTTACAAAAATATGGGTCTAGCATCATATGCCACTGGCACAAAATGTGTCCTCTTTTCCTTTATTTTACACCACAAACTGCGTAACTCTTTCAGCCCCAAGAGGTCCTAGCCAATGTGGAGTGGAAAAGCAGGAGGAGCAGCAGAGGAAGAAGAAGAAGAAGAAGAAGAAGAAGAAGAAGAAGAACTGTTAGAGATTCTCTTTCCAGGTTGTCAGGCACACTAATAAGTTCTCTGATCTTCTCCCTAATGTGTTTACATTGACGACTCCTGTTCTGTACAGGTCGATGTAGTGACTGAGAGCTCTTGCATGGTATTCACACTGGGTTGCTCCATCTGGAATATCTGGACTTTGCATGTGAGTCACAGAGAAATCATTACCCTCGTGTTTGAGAAAAACAAAACAAAGAGGAAGAAGAGGATGACGAAGAAGATGAAAAATAAATAGAAGGATAACCTCTCACAAAAATGTACTCACTGCTACATTCACTTTGGCAATATGGGTTTTGTTACTGGCATTCTCGCCTAATTTGACATTGCAGACGAGTTCACAGTTGACCCCGACCTTGTGGTGCGGGCCAGCACCTGCTCCAATAATAAATGCTTCAGGCAGTTCTGCCAGATTGGCTACCGTCTGGAAGTCATAGAGCTGACAAGAAATTTAAAATAATAAAATTTGCGAGGAATATTTAATCCATTGCATAACATTCAGAGATGAGACAACAAGAAATTGTAACTCTTCTTCTCCGTGTTTACGGTTGTAAATTTAGGTGGACAGTTCTGGCTGTTCATCCACCTCTGGACTTTAGTCTTGTTCCAGGAGCTGAGTGCTGCATGCACATCTGTTTTACCGATCTTATTTGTATAAAAACTGTTGGTTCCTTGCCTCTCAGTTCGACCCTTACAACATGCCTATTGAGGAGGGAGTGGGTATATTCTTGTTTTCCTAACTATGGGGCCCCAGAACACACAGGGATAAAAAAAAAAGACTAAAGATATGCCGAACGTTGAATTAAGAATCCAGATCCCAGCAGTCGGGACACTCCCATAAGTGCTCCATCCCCATCTTTAGCAGCAAGCAAAGAGTTCTATTTCTGATGGTACCAGTAACTGTCTGACTGTATATCTGTCTTGCCCTTCCCTTGGTAACTAAAGATAAGACTTAACAATGAGTCTGACAAATACACATGGTGTTGTGTATTGATCTGCACTAAGATAATGCAGAAAATGGTAGGCTACCAGTTTAGTCTGGGTTAGCAAAGCTCCACATGCAATACTGCTGTGTGTATATGGTCAGCCTGTCTTGACTGACTATCTCCATTATCGACAATTTGAATTATGTTGGCAACCGTTGGAGCTGGCATCTCTAGTGGCTGCCTTATGCATTTATTGCATGTTTCTGGATTTTGCTACAACTATTTGTTTGTCCCCTAGTTTTTAAATGAGAGCAAAAGACTGTATGTGTGACTTTCACAGGCACAGGAATACAACAGATACAGGGTGAGCTGTTTGCAGAAAATCAACAGTCCCCTTTCGGTACAGGAAATTAGTTCTCTATCTAAGTTAATATCATTTTCAAGCCATTTTTATTATGGATTTTATTTATTTATAATATTGTTAGTTTTCTACTCTTTTTTTTCTTTGTGTTTGCTGGCTGTAAACCTTGGCAGAAAGTTTAGGTTGTTTGTCTACCTATTATTTGAGCCTCTGAGTTTTGCGTGCACATCTGTTTAACAGATCTGACTTAACTGTATACAGACTGTTGATTCCTTGCCTTTTAGGCAGATGCACTTCAACTTCAAAGGAAGCCTCCAATTAGTCAACTCTTAGGACATGCTTGTTAGGGATTCAGTGAGTCTATTCTTGTTTTCCCTATAATTCAGCCTCAGAACCTACATCTGGAAATTGGCTACTGTAAAACGATATCCCTGTTGCGAAATATTTTCAAATTTTGTTTCTCACTTTGTTTTTTTGTGGCCATGGCTTCAAGTAGTCAGGACCTCCAATGTCCACAATACGAGGTTGTCCGCCCAGACCTGAAAAGAATATTACAGTTAGCAAAACTGAAACAACAGAAATTTCTACGGAAACAAATAACAGAAGGGATTATACAAAGCCCACCCCCCACTCCCCCAAAAAAAATTTACACACATTACAACAAAATAAAATTATTCTTTCCAATATGATTTTTAATTAGCATGTTCTGACCTTAATTCCTCCCTTTATCTTTTCCTGTTTGTATCATAAGCAGCATAGACAGTCAACTCAGGCCAAGACATCATGTTCTGTGCTATCGTAGGCAGCTCACCTCATGTTACCCCCCCCCCCCCCCCCCCCCCCCCCCCCCCCCCCCCCAACGTCAATCTCTAGCTCCCTACAAAGTCCTAACATTCCAGGTGTCAATTCAGGAGAATCCCTAGGTGAAAGGAGGTGTGCTGGCAATCCAGACTTTTCTCAATGTTCCCTGCACCTTGTCAACATTCCTCTACTAGAAAAGCCTTCCCTCTACCACACTGGTTTCCTGATATATATATATTTGTCTTTTTGTTGTTTGCATGTTCCACTACTGGTTGGTTTTTGTGGCTGTTTTTTTTTACAAGATGAGGTAACCAACTCCCATCTTGGTCACCTCTTAAGATATGGCTGGTAGGGTGCAGTGTTACCATTCTTTGCTTCCTGCAAGGACCCCGGCAACACATGGGTAGTTATTTCTTTTAATATGACGACAATAGTTAATGTCTCAATTTTATTTTCTCCTGAAACATTTTTTTATTTAGTCACTCCAAAACCTCTGTATATACACCTCCAGGGTTACTACCTAACTACAATTATACTAGTCAGTTAGTTGCATAACCTTTACAGGACATTGCAGAACCAACCAAAGCATTTTTTGGCTGTTGTGGTTTTTCTAGGCAAATTTTGCATTCAGTAGTTTGCCATTGTTCTGAACGGTCAGCTCTCGCTACCACTGTCGAAACCAATGCAAGACAAATCGCCCACAGCTGTGATGGAACCCGATCCCCCAGCATGACGAAGCGTGTTAGCAACACCTAAGCCACAGACATCGACAACTATACTAGACTTAGTGATTATTGTTAACAGGAAAGTTCAAGATGTATCTGACCTTGTCAGGTATTCAAAACTCTTATCTTCAGGCACAGCAACACTCCTGCCAGTTTATCTATAGTACAAATTAGGGCAGCCCTGTTTCTAACTGGTTACGGTAACTTATCTGTGTGTCCCTGACCTTACTAATCTGTCAGGTCAAATAACAATGGGAGAGGGGAAAAAAGCTCCGAGATAAGAAAATCTGGTTTGCCTCTCAGATGTTGATTTCTACAGCAATGAGAATTATTTTGTTTGAATTTTAATCACAATTTATGAAATGGTTTGGCCATCTGATGAGATGTGCCCTAGTTTCAAGTACCCCTCAGAGAGGTTTTGAAGAAATATATTGAACACATAGCCAAGGGAAGACCACAGAAAATATCGAATGATGGCACCAATAAAAGCCATAAGGAAATGCAGATCAGGTAATCGCAGTTCCAATTTCATATGAGTTGAGTTGAGTCAAGAATTGACATCACAGTACTCAGGGCATTCCCATGCATGCTCCGTCCTCATCTTCAGCAGCCAGCGCAGTTCCAATACTGATGGTACCTGTCACAATCTGGTTATATGATTGTCTTGCCTTTCCTCTGAGTGTAGTGAATTGGCCAGACTCTCTGGTTACATCCAGATGCCTCATTCTCTCCAGGTCATAATAATTTTCTTTCTTTACTGAGAAAGCTTGTTCCCAATGCATCTTGACCAAATCTGCCTTGTCATGTATCAATTCACCACCCAGTGGTGCAGATCCAGCCAATCTGTCGGTCTGTTCATCACCCAACATGCTGACACTGCCTGGAGAAAAGATTTCCAATTTTATATCTAATGGGTTGCCCCAGTCCTCTGCCAAAGAAAACCACACAGAATGGTCATGGCTATCCTCTGTAAGAAAAATGGACAAAACAGCAAATCCAACAGACACATGTGCATTTAAAAGCCTAAGGTAGCTGTCAGAAGTGCTAACACAAGAAATATGGTGCAAACACAAGAAATACAGTTCAGTGTCCATGGAAGCAGCAGTCACAACAAATCAGTACTTGCACACACAATTAACTGCCTATGGCATCACACATTTTCAAGCAACAGCTGGGCGACAAACTATATCCTTTCAGTCTACACACAGAGGAAAATGCAACAGTCAACTATGGCCAGAAACAAAACTTTTAAGACTAAAAACAGTAAACCTGCTTATCCACCATACTGACGGGAAACAATGATGATCAGCTTTTACAATGAGAAATTAGAAAGTGCACAGATAATTTCCTTACATTTGCCCCAGTCCCTTCAATAAGGTATCTGAATGTAGATGTTTTATTTGAAACAGGAACCATGATGTAAAGGTAAGGATTTGGAATAAACATCTAGTTCAATGTTACAAAATGACAAAATCATTACTGTCACAATCCTTTAAAACAAATATTCAAAACGAAGAGCTCTGCTCACTCACCTTCGGCAGCCAGATCAAATGGAGCCTGTGTAAGATTTGGACAGTCAACAACTGACACTTCACTGGAGCTGAAGTTTTTGGACAGTCCATTTCTCAACACTAAAATGAAATTGTAGTAACAGTTTAAAGGTTTAATTACTGGATAACTGAACAAATCACAAATGAAGTTGTAAGAGAAAAAAGTCAGCAAAACTAATAGTCATTATTGCCCTGTTGTGCCATTATATGTTACATAGCGTTCATAGTCTATTCTGTGTGTATGTCTGTTTGTTTATTCAACGGAACAACATCATGGCACACGGGTGTAACCAATAAGTGCTCTGTTCTTCTTCTAATTCCAGCCTAGGATTGAAGAATCTCAGTGCAGTGCACAAACACTGTTGCACCGGCGAGGATCCTGAACTATTTTGGGTAGATTTTTAACTCCAGATTTTCCCTGGGCTACTCTTTTCGATTTCCAACTGCCAACGGATTTTTTACGTGTGCAAAAATACACACGGTCATCCTGTCTTACTACTCAGAGACCAAAAAAAATTACAAGAAGTCCATGTGAAAAACTCCCAGCCTTCATGGGGCCTTGAACCCAGGACTTCTAGCACTCAAGGCGGTCACCATGCCTCAAGACCAAGCAGCACCCTGTTTATGTCTGTGCGTTCATCTGCATTTATGTATGAATGTGTATGTCTATGTCCCAGCAAGAGTGGATGGGTGTGTGTGTGTGTGTGCACGCAAGTGTGTGCATGCATTTTATTACCCATATTTTTCCTTGATATTTATAATATGTACATTGTTACATGAAGATAACATGCTTTATTGATCAAATACAATTGCTGTGTGAAAGATGAGTGATTGAAAGAGCGGAATGGATGATGAGAATACATCCCCAATTTGTGACACTTTAAAAATAAAGTTTTTCATTTGTTCTTCCATTGTTATACAATCACTTCAGTATCATGGTAGGAATAAATTCTGGCCTATTTAACCTTTCTCATCAAAGTTGGCTTAAAATCGTTTTGTATTCCTGCTTCCTCAATCCCTTTATTTCCTGTTTCAGTGCTTGCTTGGGACAGAGCTAATACTTAATTACATATTTCTCTTCTTTCTTCTTCTTTACTGGTTCAGGTGTGAAGGAAGATATTATTAGGTTCTGCTTCTTGCTTTTCTAGCCAACCCTACCACAGGGAGCATGTTGTGCTGTTGTAGACTTCCTCTAATGCTATCTTTCCATATGTTCTTGGTCTGCCTCCAATCCTATGTCCTTTTCCTCATTTGGTGTATGCCTTGTATTCATCAAAGCTGAAAATGACAGTGCACTGGAGGTCCATTTTACAGCTAATCTCAATTGCGAAGATGGGACCTGATTAAATGAAAATGAAGCACATAGAAAATCGAAGGAATAGATTACCAGTAACAGCATAGAAAGGATGATGCAGGAAAATATAGTGACTCAATGGTCTATGCGCCAATCAGGGAGTTGAAAGCAGCACAAGAAAAGAAGGCTATCATCTGAATAACGGTCCCAAATTTTTAAGGCCCAAAATATACCCTAACAGGGCCTCAGTCCAATGTAAACTGTGGACCTCTTTCTGGCGACTACACAGCATACCGTGGAAAGCTTCCACCTAGTTAAAGTCACCGCTGAGAGTATCTCCCGCGCCACGGAGCAGGGTTAAACTAGATGGCTGGGACTCACGAGCAGCAGCTACCGCATCTCCTGCAGCTTCCTTCATTGTATTTGCTCATGAGTCCCAGACATTAAGTTTAACCCCATTCCATGCAGCGCATAGCGGCACGGGTGATATTCTTGGCGGTGGCAGTATAGTCACCGGAAATAGGTCTGCAATTTACATGTGACTGAGGACCTGTTAGGGTATATTTTCGGTCTCGATAATTTGGGACAGTTATTTGGAGGATAGCCGAAAAAAATATAGTGTATGTATGTGTGTGTGCCTTCCAACATCAGCTAAAGTCTAAGTCTCTATCTCACACCAAAAGGATCAAAATATATAAAAGGTTTGTAAGACCAGTTGTTTTATATAGCTCTGAAACTTGGAACACAACTTAAAGAGATAAAGGCTTATTACAGGTTTTCGAAAACAGAGTATTACAACAAATCTTTGGACCCATCAAAGTTGCAAACAGTGGGGAATGGAGAGTGAGAAAGAACAACGAAATTCAAGATCTTTTTAGATCACCAGCCTCATGAGAGCCAATATATACTTATAGACTGGAATGGCTGGGGCCTATTGAGAGAATGTCAGATGACAGAGAGGTAAAAACTGTATACACAAGGGAGATGAATGGTCATAGACCACAATGCAAACCAAGAAGACAAAAGAGAATGTCCAGACAGGCATACAAACACTTGGTGTCACCTGCAGCAACGAACCTCAAGGCTTGGAGTGCTGAAGAAGAAGATGATGATGTGTATGTATGCATATATATATATATATATATATATATATATATATATATATATATATATATATATATATATATATATATATATATATATATATATATATACATACATATATATATATATATATATATATATATATATATATATATATATATATGTATGTATATATATATATATATATATATATATATATATATATATATATATATATATATATATATATATATATATATATATATATATATGAATTTGTATAGTATATACTATACTACAGAAATTTAGTACAAAAATGCGCCTAGACTTTACTACGTTTGTGACTTAGTCTAAAGTTCAAAGTTTACTGACATACTGATAACCAGAGAGAGTCGAAAGGTTTATAACTAGTTCAAATATATCTTCAAATGTTAAATGAAAAACACTAAGGAATTATAAAAAGTGATTACCCTCTGCAACCTCCTCCAATGAGGGACGATAAAGCGACATTTTCTTGACGGACAACATCTTCGTTGATGGATAAAAGTCAAGAAGTTCAAATCTCCGGGTCTACCTGTGTCCGCTTCTGATAGCTTGTTGCAGAAAAGTGGGCGGCGGCTACACCTGGCGGAAGTACGTGTCTAACCACCGAAATAATCCCTAACAGTCCGGAATTAACCTGTTTTGCTTATCTGTTTATTAGTTTTAGGGTTTAAAAATCTGCTCCTGATGGGGTTTATTTGTATGTGTGGGTTTGTGGTTCCGGGGTCGACCCAGTCTGTAAACTGGGTATGACACATCAGTTAGAGGCCGCTGGCGTGATACTGACCATACCACTCACTCAATGATGATTGGTTTAAAAAAAATGGGCTAATGTCTGATAGCAGGTCACATGACAAGCATGTCTTGTAGTCCGTGTCGTGTGCGGTTGGTCATCGTGCTTTTCTACAACCTTCTATCTTGCAGCGTCTGTGCATTAGGCGTTGCGAACGCGCTTCGTAATGCCAGGGTACCGGGTTCGACCCCAACTGCAGACGATTCGTCTTGCGTTGGCTTCGACAGTGGTACCAAGAGCTGACCGTCAAGCAGGCAATGGCAAACTACTGAACGTAAATTTGCCTATTAAAAAATAAACACAACAGTCCCAAAAATACTGAGGTTGGTTCTGCAACGCCCTGTAAAGGTTACGCAACTGACTCTATCTTGCAGGAAACCGTTGTAGTATAGCGGCTAGACGCCCACCCGCCGACTCTAATTAGAAACCTCCCCGTGTGGTTTCCCGTGCCCCATTGTGGGGGAGGGGGGATACGAATAGACCCACTGCCTCCCCAAGAGTCTAAGAGTCGACTACTTGGGAGCTTCCTTAAGTCAGAGTGCTTTTGGCTGAGAGGCAAGGGACAAACAGTCTGCATACGAATGAGCCAGAACCGTTAAACACACTATTACAACTTTTCGCCGGGGTTTACTGCCTGTGATCGCGAAGCAGAAGAAGAAGGAGGAGAAGAAGAAGAAGAAGTAGAAGGAAAAGAATAAGAAGAAGGGTTACAAATGGCACCGAGTCAATTTATTCCTTAGAATTGAACTTGGTTGACCCCATGTGTGTAATGTTAACCACATCTTCCACATTAGGACACGACTGGATTTTTAGAAATTATCTAATACAATATTCCACCCTCTCCATACATCACAGGCGTAACACAAGTCCTTTGCCTAACTTGTCATGTGTTTTACAATACGGGTATCCGTGGCCAAATGGATAGGCTGCTTGATTCACGCGCTAAAGTTCGTGGATTCAATTCGCGAACTGCGTTGTTCGTTTCAAGCATGCCATTTTACGTAGATCCAATGAAATAGCCACTGGTACCGTCCAGCTCGTGCTTTGTGCTCACTGCACCAGATTTAATCCCTTATACAGTGACCTTTCTATGTAGAATGACCAGCTACATGTAGATAGCACAAACGGTTCACTATAGCCCCAGCGACTATCTCAAGGATCTAATTTTTTTCATACAATCCCAAAAAATGATAGTTGGTAGGCTCTAGAACCAAAAATATATATACAAAACGCCCCCTATGATGTGGAAAAAACGACACTCGGCTTACATTAATTCTAGCCAAACGTAATCTGCCCACTTATTCATCATAGTGTTGTGTGACACAACAAACCGATTAGCTCCCTTTTATTTAATAAATAAAGAAACGTCAATTCCATGATTTATAAATAACAAAATGCTCTAAACTTTTACAATTATAGATTTTCGAACGTTCCGTGCAGAAATCGTGGTTTAATATAAATAGATCTTGACAGTTTGCGTATATTAATTTAACAATATACTGCTTTGTATGATCTCTAATTACCGTAAATTACGAGGTTGAAGTCGATCTCATAATTTAAAGTTCGAATTTCGAAGTAAGACGCATACCTGTCGACCTCTAAACAATTGTTGTGTTGACATGCCAAAAATGGGTAATAAACGTCAGTTTTAATGGGAAATACCTAACCTGATGTAGGTACGGTAAAGTTCGTTCGTTCGTTCGTTTGTAAGTGGTGTACAGTAACTAAGGGTAGAACAGATCAAATGCGGGAATGGAGAGTGAGAAGCAACAACGAAATTCATTATCTGTTTAAAACACCATTGATCAGACAGACCAAGAAGACGAGATAATGTCCAGGCAGACATGCAACCACTTGGTGTTACCAACTAGAAAGAGAAGGCCAACCAGAGGAACTTCAAGGGCTCGGAAAATGCTGAAGAAGAAGAAGATATACAATTCTTTCTTGAAACTATACCAGTCTTATCCATGGTGAAAACTATCTATGTTGTTGTGTAAGATATGTAAACCTATGTTGTTGTGTAAGATATGTAAACCTTTGTTGTTGTGTAAGATATGTAAACCTTTGTTGTTGTGTAAGATATGTAAACCTTTGTTGTTGTGTAAGATATGTAAACCTATGTTGTTGTGTAAGATATGTAAACCTATGTTGTTGTGTAAGATATGTAAACCTATGTTGTTGTGTAAGATATGTAAACCTATGTTGTTGTGTAAGATATGTAAACCTATGTTGTTGTGTAAGATATGTAAACCTATTTTGTTGTGTAAGATATGTAAACCTATGTTGTTGTGTAAGATATGTAAACCTATGTTGTTGTGTAAGATATGTAAATCTATGTTGTTTTGTAAGATATGTAAACCTATGTTGTTGTGTAAGATATGTAAACCTATGTTGTTGTGTAAGATATGTAAACCTATGTTGTTGTGTAAGATATGTAAACCTATTTTGTTGTGTAAGATATGTAAACCTATGTTGTTGTGTAAGATATGTAAACCTATGTTGTTGTGTAAGATATGTAAATCTATGTTGTTTTGTAAGATATGTAAACCTATGTTGTTGTGTAAGATATGTAAATCTATGTTGTTTTGTAAGATATGTAAACCTATGTTCTTGTGTAAGATATGTAAACCTTTGTTGTTGTGTAAGATATGTAAACCTATGTTCTTGTGTAAGATATGTAAAGCTATGTTGTTGTGTAAGATGTGTAAACCTATGTTGTTGTGTAACCTATATCAGTCCTCGTTATTAGTAAACGATTCCAATCTTCGTTGCTGTGTAAGCTATACTATCCTTTGTTGTAGAGAAACTATAGCAGTCTCATCCATAGTGTAAATTAGTGATTCCCAAACTGTGCGCAGCGGCGCCCCGGGGGGCCGCGACCTCTTCACAGGGGAGCCGCGAAATATTCAAAGATACACGAGTTTCTTTTTTTTTTTTTTTTAAATCTCTTACAAATGAATAGTCACATTTTTACTTAGGTTAGGGAGCTCGTGGACAGATTTTCGTTTAAAAAAAAAAAAAAAAAGCACCACGACTAGGACAAGTTTGGGAAACACTGGTGTAAACTATCTCACTTGTGTTAGATATGTACATTTTTGTTGTTTGTATAGACTATACCAATCTTCGTTGTTAATAGACTATTCCGATTTTCGTTGCTGTGTAAACTATGACCACGAAAGTCTGTAAACTATACTAATCTTGACTGAAGTGTACACTATACCACATTATTTGTACTGTAAAGTATATCAGTCTTATATGTAGATCAATGTAAACCATGCTGTTATCAGTCACAGCTGTAGTATAGAATACTTACATCGTTGTTGTGGTATTGAATATACTAATCTCTGTTGTAATATGGACTATACCAATTCTTAACTGAACGCATTTACGGGACAGAATGTGTCAAAAAGGATGCAAGGCAACACGACTAGATGGACCTGATAAGCTGAAATGTGTTTAGTTTTATCCCAGAGTGATCAATTTCTCCCGATTAGTTGGATTTTGTTTGGTTAGCTTTCAGAGCGATCAACTTGACCCGATTAGCTGAAATGTGTTTAGTTCGCTCTCAGAGCGAGCAACTTGACACGATTAGCTGGAACTTATTAGTTCTCTTTCAGAAAGCTTGACCTAATTAGCTGGAATTTATTTAGCTCTCTCCCAGAGTGACCAACGTTTTCTAAACATTTGTTGGTCCATTGATCAAAAACACAACGGTCCTTAATGTCTTTATTAGTACCGTTATTTATCTTGTAGATCTCTCCCTCTCCCTCTTTCTCTCTCGCTCTCTCTCTCTTTCTCTTTCTCTCTCATACACGCCGTAGGAAACGATCGGGGATACTTGCCACTTATTTGGGGTGATTGTTTATAAAGTTAGCTCTTCCCACATACATACATGATTTTCTTAGACAACAAACCTTGGCCGCCCACTTGGCATGACACATGCTGATGGTAGTGAATACTGCAGTAAAGGAGGGCCAATTCGAACAAGGGGTGCCACAATAAGCAAGGTCTAAGTAACAAGTTATCAGCCTTCGCGATAAGCCAGGTCTAAGTAACAAGTTATCAGCTAAAACAATAAGACAGGGTCTAAGTAACAAGTTATCAGCTGCTACGATAAACCATGTCTAAGTAACAAGTTATCAGCTGCCACAATAAGCCAGGTCTGAGTACCAAGTTATCAGCTGCCCCAATAAGCCAGGTCCAAGTAACAAGTTATTAGCTACCACAATAATCCAGGTCTAAGTAACAAGTTATCAGCTGCCACAATAAGCCAGGTCTAAGTAACAAGTTATCAGCTGCCTCAATTCGCCAGGTCTAAGTAACAAGTTATCAGTTGCCACAATAAGCTAGGTCTAAGTAACAAGTTATTAGCTGCCACAATAAGCCAGGTCTAAGTAACAAGTTATCAGCTGCCACAATAAGCCAGGTCTGAGTACCAAGTTATCAGCTGCCCCAATAAGCCAGCTCCAAGTAACAAGTTATTAGCTACCACAATAATCCAGGTCTAAGTAACAAGTTATCAGCTGCCACAATAAGCCAGGTCTAAGTAACAAGTTATCAGCTGCCTCAATAAGCCAGGTCTAAGTAACAAGTTATCAGTTGCCACAATAAGCTAGGTCTAAGTAACAAGTTATTAGCTGCCACAATAAGCCAGGTCTAAGTAACAAGATATTAGCTACCACAATAAGCCAGG